TTCGTTGTAATCGTATGTTTCTTTCTAAAATTGAAAGCAAATTTATTCCTTTTATAATATTATTATTATTAGATCTTGTATTATCGCCCGTAATAGTATAATCAAATAAAATAACGTTAATTGAAAACGAAATGCCGAGTGATAATATTTAACAAGATATATGTACTCCACATATGATAAATTTGAAAAGCAAGGAACATATTTTTAAACAAATTTTAATTTTTTATCGTATAAATGAAAACAGTGCTGCCTTTTGTAAAGGTTTTAAAATATTACTTTAGTTTGTTCCGATTTTTGCTACGCAATACGAGCAATACGAACTGGAACTATAGTAGAGCGCACAACCCTTTAATATCGTAAGCTCAGATGTAATGTGTATATTTGTGTGTGTGTGAGTGAATGCGTGGATTTGTCGCTGTCTGTTTGCCTGTCGCCTCGCCTTAGCCGCAATCTTCTTAGCCCGATATCGACAGTAGCAATCATTGCGCCCTTTTACCGTGTAACGGCCTGCCACTAGCACCACCACCACCACCACCCACTGACAACCTCTCTGCAACGGCCTTAGTGTCGTGCAACTTTTGACATGTCTTGTAAAGCGCTGAGAGTAGTTTCATGTCCGCCACCGCCCGTGCACAAATTTTCACTTAATTCCATGTGTCTGTCTGCTTTACGCTGGCAAACAGACATATAGTATAAAAATATGAAAATAAATAATATTTATGTGAAAATGCATTTAAAATGCGCTCACAAATTGCGCGGACAAATATTTATTTATCTACAAATTTATGCAGCATTTGATTACCGGCACCACCAAAGCAAACATTGCATAAATCATATGAATAATTTAAGTTGTTTCGTTGACCGTCGCTTTGTTTCATTCCCTTGTTGTGTTTTGTTTTTATTTCGCTTTAATGGCACTCCATCAAATGATTCATTTTTTGATTTATATCGGCCACAACGCGAACAGCGAAAAAATGAAACAACTGAGTACCGCTTCTAGGGCTTGTAATTGCATTAAATGGCATGGAACCGAATCCATCAGCACAACATGAAGTGGGCGGACAGGAATCCAAGCTGGTCGGGCTGGCATTGACAAGTCCGATTCACGTTCAACATCAGCGCACAAAATTCCAATTTATTTTAATTGATTTATTAATGATTGAATTGCTGCATAAATGCCGCAATACTATATGCATATAGTAAGCATTCTTCTTTTTGGACTTGTTGGCAGCCACTTGGCCGCCCAATGCAATTCCCCAATATCAAATAGGCCATTAGATAAAAGGAATTGCAAACACACAGAAAAACCCAACAAATCCTTATTTAATAACGTCGAATTAATTGATGCAATATTGGAAAAAAATATATACTACGTGTATATACATTTATGTCCGAGTAACACAGAAAATTATCTAATTATAACACAAAAGTAAATCTACCTATACACCCATCTATTTTTCTTTATAATAATATTTCATATTTATCAACAATTTTAATATAAGTTAAATTATATTATTAAAAATAATCGTGTGAAGAACTTACTCTGATTCCTGGATGCAAAATTTTGAGCCTGTATATAAAGACCCATTTGGTCAAAAGTTGAAGCAGGACTCTGCATACATTTCTGGCCCTATTTTAAAAATTCGGTTTTTGCATAATGATTTTCCATACGACACGACTATATGAACTTTAATGTTGTTTAATTTATTTAATAGCTTATTTTCTTTTGTCTTATATTTTCATATAAAATAATGTGTATAATTTATGTACTTTTAATTACTTCCATTAATGAATAAAAACTTGGTTGCATATAATTAGTTTTAAAAACATATGCAATCGTACTATAATGGTCCGACAAATAGTTCACAATCCATTTTTCAGATTAAATCTATATATTTTATGAAGAATCAATGGAATAAATTTAGTTGCTTATATATATTTATTACATTCGTACTACTATATTTGTTGACCAGTACGGCTAGTTTTTGTTCGGTGTACATAGATTCGTACATACTTTGCTTGTCATATACCAATGCAAAAGTTTATGCCACAATCAGCCAATCTTCAGCAGCTCTGACGGCTAATGCTTGCAATCCAAACTCTTTTGCATTGCACATTTTGTGGCATGCTTCTTCATGCAAAGTGTCCTTCGGCTGGTGGAGATGGAAGGCAAAAACCAGAAGCGCCAAGGGCGCGTAAAATGAAAGGGCATAGGGTGATGGGTGAGTGGAATGTCTCAAGATTAGGCATAATTATGCAATTTCCTCTTTAACGCTCACACAGACAGACACAAAAGAGTTAAATTCAATAAAATTTACATTTAACCACAAAAACAACTTCTGTTGGCAACGTCGAGAACTAAGGACTGTGATGGCAGTTACGAGTTAAGTTCAGCAGAAGAGTTTAAAAAACAACCCAGAAAAACTGTGGGGGTGTGGCAACGGAAAAGACTTATGTAAATTGAAATTCGACTACAAAGACAAAAGTGCAGAAAACAAGAATAATAACAACAAACCAAACAAGTACAACGAAAAAGAAGTGGCGGTAGTTATAAAGAATTTCATTCATTTCAAATTACGCTATATGAGTGCGTGAAAAGTGAGAATGGGGTAGGGGTAGGGGGTAGTGGATAGGGGAAGGCGCTGGCAGTTTGGCATAATTGAAGGCTTACTCTACGCGAAATCCACACACACACACACACACACACACACCCACACACAATGCGGAAGTTGTGCCTGAACGCTACCAATTGGCTTGGTTTTGTCGCCTGCTGCTTTTCAGCCAGAAATTCAATTTCATGCCGCGTGACACAAAGACAAAAGATGCTGCTTCCAAAGCCATGCCCCGCCCGCTTCGCTATTCTAGCCATGGCCACCATCATGGAAGCAACGGCAGACAGTCGCAGTTTGGCTGAAGGACGACGACGACGATGACGACGACAACGACAATGATGACGCGAAGGAGTCGGGGTAACGAAGGAGCAAGCGCGCACTGTCAAGTTGACATTCAAAAATGCGCTCACTTCGCTCAAAAGAATTTCAAATTAGCCACTTTTGCTTAACAATTGGCAGGCGACAAATTAAAAACGCAGCGAGGGGCAAGACTGACGTAAAGTCGTCGAGAGTCACGGAGTCACAGAAGGGCGGCCGACCAGGTGGGCAGCGTAGTTGGCGACAATTTAAAGTGAAGTATTGAGTGCAAAATAATTGCAAAAGCGAACGAGAACTGCACTCGAACTGCTGGCTGGCAGACAGACAAACAGACAGACAGACAGACAATAGAATTCAATGGAGGCGGGAGGAGTGAAGGCGTGCTGGAGCTGGAAGCTGCCTTGCCTCGCCTCGCCTCGCCTCGGCATTAGCGCCATTTACACAAATCAACGTGCCATGTAAGTGTGTGTGTGTGTTTTTGTGCTTTTATATATGTATATGTATGTATGTATTTGTGTGGTTTGGGACTGAGCAGCTGAAGTCGAGCAGCTGCTTAACGACGCGCTCGCTAAGTGGCAAAATTTCCATGGAAAAGCGAAAACGCAAAACCAATTGAAATTGCGGCCAGACCGCACAGGCGACGACAATAATGGTCAACCGTCGACCACCAACTGAAGAAGAAGTAATAATGGAAACAGAAATCTGCCTGCCTCCACTTCCAATACGTATTGAAGCCATTCATGCTGTTAAATATAGAGAATACTGTGATTTAAATAAGGGGGCCTATTTAATACATTTTAATGGGGGGGGGGGGCAATATGTAATACATATTGTAAGTAAAATCCCGACTCTAATATCGCTCTACTGACTACATCTGCTAGCTATTTGTACTAAATAGTACGATTATATTGCGATGCTTATTTTTGCAAACTAATATTTGTAATTATCTATAATAATGTTTATATTTATATACTTATATCATCTAGAACACGTATTTAATAGATTACGATTACAAAAGAATCGAATACACGTACATGCACCTCACATTGAAGACAACATTAGTAATCCAAAGTTTGTCTTTAGTTTTGTGAGTATTTATTTTCAAAATGCTTCTTTTTTTGTTTATTTAAAAAAGAAAAATAACAATGTGGACATCAAATAGAAAATTGTATTTTACGTTTTCAGAATGTTAATACTTTTCTAAACTTGCTTATAAAATTATTAATACCATTGATTCAAAACTGTTACGTTCCTTTTTTAGAATCTTTTAACCTCAAATATTTGCAAAAAGGTGTAATAATGAATACAATTTAATCATACTATAATATTGATACTGCATAGTTTTCAAATTTAATTAATATATGTTATACAATTTAACAAAGTACTAGTAAGTAAGTAATCGTTAAGGAAATCATCCCATTTATTAATATGTACTTTTATTAAATATGTTGTTCAACTACTCTGGAACAAAATAATCTAATTTGAATGAAGCGGCAGTAGATACTTTTTAGAGGCGAAATTATTCACAATTTTGTATTAGTCGTAGCTTAAAAAAATCTCTTCCATATTATCGAAAAAAATATACCACACACAAAATAATGGCAAAACTGCATTTTGTGAAGCAGAAAATCGCGATTCGTAAATGCATTTAACTGCCTTTAGAATATGCATTTGAATTTTTTGTTAACATAGATTTAATTATTTGTTTTACAGCTTATGACCATTTTATGACTGCAAAAAACACAATTTTTTTGTTAACAAAAAATACTCATTGAAAATGTATTTTTCACCTTATTGAGCTGAGCTCTATAAAACGGCGTTTTTTTAATTTGGTTAGACTGTTTATTATGGAGCCAAGAGAAGTTTGTTTGAATTAATTTAATTAATTTTTGTATATGCATATGTAACTACATAGTACATAATAATTGCATTTTTGTATTGAATGAAAAAATTGGCATTGTACATTGAAACGTGAATAAAAATTGTTTATTTGGACGACATTTGAAATGCTGTAATAAAAGCCCACAACCAAACAAATAAAAAGGCATATACAGCCACCATTACCACCAATTACTCTACCAGCTCAGCGACTGGGGGAGGCGCGGGAACAGCTGTTTCAGCAGATTTAGCCCGCTGCTGCTCCTTCTGCTCCTTGCGGGCCAATTCTGAAGAGCGCAGCTGCTGCTTGCACTGATGTATCTTGTAGGCCGTCTCGCACTTGTTGGTACCAAGAAGTCCATGGCAGTCGCGCTCTGCATAGGTATTGGGATCGGTGATATCGGCCAGCTTGCGTATGAAGTCGCGTTCCACGAAGACCCCGTCGCGCATCAGACCCATCTGCTCGTAAAGGCAATGGGTGAAGCATTGGCTGGCCTCTGAGGCGTTGGAAAAGTCGTGATTTCTGAACTTGTGCAGCTCATCCATTGAGATATCCGTGTCCTGTTGACAAATGCGAACCATGTCCTCGGTTAGCTGATGCGAGTCCTCAGCGACCGTAAGGGCCAGGTTCACATTGAGCTTGGTGAAGCGAGCCTGCACAAACGGCACAGTTATTAAATCAATTTGCAGAACTGCATTTCAATTACAATTTACACACCTCAGTGGCTGCGAACAGAGAAATGCAAATCAGAACGAGCGCTTTGTTCATGCTGGCCATGTTGCTGAGCTGGGAGGAGTCGACGAGAATGAATGATTCCGCCCTTGCTGGCCAACAGACATTTATACGTGGCTCTTCAACTGGCCCGTTAAATTTGTCAATTAAATTTGCTGCGCAAATTATAAATATTAATTGCAGTATCAGCGCAATGGCCCGCAAAATCCGCTTAGCAAACGAGCGGTTAGTGAGCAAAAAAAATAAAAAATAATAAACAAAAAACTGCAATTTGTTTTTATTGGTAATGCTGATGGGCAAAAGTTGAAGTTGAAAGCTACTCCAAAAAGTTGAAAGTTCGCCGCAATATTAATAACGCAGAGTAGCGGCAACAAAATCAAATCAAATCAAATCGATGCGCCGACTTGAGAGCTGCTTCAAAATTGCATAACTGCGGCGCACAAAACTTGCCAAAAACTTGCAACAAAATGAAAACAAAATGAAAAGCAAAATCAACAGAAAAAAAAGGAGCAACAATTGCCGCAACAATCGAACGAGCGTTCAAGCTACTGACGAGCCCCATATACATACAAACATATATACACATATGTATATACATATATATTTATATACATCTATTTATGTGTGTATGTGTGTGTGTGTGTGTGTGTGTGTGTGTGTGTGTGTGTGTGTGTGTGTATGTTTGGCCATTTCCGCTGCCGCTGCGGCTGCTGCCATTTTGGTTGCGACTATTTCCGCTGCGCGCATTAACTGCAGGCGCATAACTTTTCCAATTTGCTTTTGGCAATTATTGATATAAGCCACTTGGCAGCAACAGTAACAGCAACAACAACATCAACGAGCATCCACCTCTCAATATGTGCTGGCCAAAACGCAAGAGCCAACAACCAAGCATATTTTCTTGCATTTTGAGAATATTTGTGCAACATTTTCAAAATTCTTCAACAGCAGTTGCAAAAAGTTTTGTTATTATTGCTCCTGCTTGATGCTGTTCTGCTGCTGTTCTGCTGCTGCCACCTCGCCCAATCCCCCTCCTGCCTCCTAGTAGCTACCACTTTGATTACTTTTGCAGTTGCCGTTGCAATTAGTTTGTTCATTAGTGTTGGCTAAAGCCGGCAGCAAGCGGCAATACTCGTAAGTAGCATGCATTTGGGCCATGATATCAGATGTGCACACACACAGACATACAAAGGGAAAAACAGACAGACGGCTGGCAGGCAGGCAAAATGTCCAGCGCAGTTTGCTGTCAGGCAATCATACATACATACATACATACTTACAAATATACTGCATCATACAACGTACTCGTACTTGTACACTTGTACTGAGTGCGACGAAAGGCATTTGCTGAGACTTGATTGGAATTCACACACTTAATTAGTTGCATTTCATGCTCAGCTTTTGTTTTCAAGTTAATTTGCACTTTTGTAGCACACACACATACGTACATACATACATACATACATACATACCTACATATGCATATGTATGTACATACTCGTACATTGAACTATTATTCTCGACTCTAAGCCAAGTATATTAATTTATGCGTAGCCAAATAAAACATCCAAGTGGCTACTTTATAGATACAAATACATAGAAATTACTAGATAGATGCTCTTGCATCTATGCAAATGCCCGCGAGCCAACCACATGCTAGCCACATGTACATAAAAATTGAACAAACTACGTATGGAAGTACGAGTAACTATGCAAATAAGCGGAAAAAAGTGAAAAGAAGCTGCCGGCTTTGTGGTCATGATGGTCCGATTTGCAAATGCATAGCGGAATGTTAAGCGTAGCAATCATTTCTGATGCAACAAAATTGTTCAACAACTCGCAACACATTGAATAAGTTGAGAAAAGTAGAGCAAGACGGATAGCTAGAGCTTGAGGGATAAACTGAAATAATTCCATGACTCCTACACACCACATACATCAATTGTTACTATTTCGTATTTAATAAGTGAATACGAATTCAATATTTATTATCGTCTGCTCCAATCTGACTTACGAGAGAACTTTATCCCTCCAGAGTATGGCTCCACGAACTATATATCCTGCTGTTTTCGAAATTATGGGAGGAGATTGTGTTTGAAACGGACACCGCATACAGTATACTAAAACAGTATATCCTTAACTTTACAGGGTATACAAAATGTGTTATAAATAACACCGGCTTTGAACTCTAAGGAAATGTTTAAATTAATAACATATTAAAGTTTAATTTAAAGCTTAAGTTTAAGAATTTATGTAAACGATATTAATTTTGCTCAGTATTCCTCATGATTCAAAATATATGTGATTTAAAGCACGATTTATTTTCCAAAATTTCTTTATACAAAACTTTGATTTGATTTGTGGATTTAGTAAATCAATTTTTATTACTTGCATTAAAAATAAAAGCTACGGACTGAAAACAAAATTATAAAAAATGTTTTACACGCAATCTACGCTCTTAATTACAGCCAATGATTAAATGATATTAAAATTTAGCTGAGAATAGTTCAAAAAAAAAAAGAAGTACAACATGTAGACGATTTTTCATAACTAATTTGAAACCCCATTTCATTTTGTAATCTTTTTAAAAAACATATCTTTGGTTTAAAATAAATCATACCTCTTTTATCGACTTGGTGAGCGTCCAAACTCTGACTGGAGCGTATATGTACATAAGAATTTGCATCAGTTCGTCCAATGTGAGCAGCAAGCGGTTAGTTGTTGGACTTACCCCTCGTCCTTTGTCCTTTGTCCCCGCCAAAGTTGTGGCATCTTTTACACACAGGCAGCACACATTGTTCCTTTCTCCGATGTTTTATACGAACATATTTGTTGCATAATGCAGACTTATGCGCTGGCACATTGTTGACCAGTTGGGCAGGGCCTCTCACCACCGCACATGTCCTGTAGACATTCTTTTAGCTAGCACATATTTGTATTATGTATTTGCCGCTAGTCCAATGCAAAAGCGTTTTGGCAGACATTTGTTGTTGGAAAGTCCAAAGCGTTTCTCGGCAAATCGCATGCGGCAAGACAAAAGCACATGCCAAACAATCTACCTACGGACTAGCGGATAAATGGATGCACATAGATGGATCGTTGGATGGATGGATTGGTGGATGGGTCGATGGGTGGATGGAAAATCTTGCTTTCATACCAGTCGCTCCAGCTCGGCATTATTCCACGTCAGTGCCTTGGCAGATTTCAACAGCAACAGCAACCGGCAGCAATTGTGTGTACTTGGCCAGTCCAAAAGAGACTGTTTGACTAAATATAGTATAGTATGTGAGTCCATGACTGTGACTGCGATTGCACACAGCTTGGAAATTCTTAAGCAAATTTCATTCAATAAGAAATAAATAAGTAAATACCTGAGATAGTTTCTAAGACTTGTGGCATGCTCACAGATTTTCTGTGACAAATTTTGCTTCGGGTTAATTCGAGCATTGTACGTACCACAGCCTCCTGCCCCTCCCATTCTGTGCTACTTTAAAATTTAGGAGCGTTTCAACATGCAAATCACATTGAAGGCACACGAACCAAATAAATATGGGAAGCGCAAATGCCTATAAGCAAGACCGTCATTTTTTACACACTCAACAAACACAGCCTCGGCAGAGGCTACCGTTCGTGAAGGGAAAATAAAAATGAATCATAAAATGGCGGCGGCGCTAGACAAAACAAATATGACAAAGCTGCAAAAGGACGAAATAAATAAAACTTTGGTGGCACAAATAAAACGTGCCTAAGCCATGGCGGTGCTCGTACAGTTGCTATCTTTGCTTTAAGAAACTTAGATGGTGGCCCACAAATACCACCATAAAATATCAAGTATGAATATATAAAAAAAAACTGTATTCAGAAAAAGTAAAAATTCGCTCGTTCAATTATTTATATATACGGGTTTATGAGTCCTACGAAAAGCCATTCCAAACGCTTTAACGGCAACTTGTTGGATACTTCATGAACTTCATTAACGGCAAATTAACTTATATTTTTGGCAAGCTTAACTCAACTCTTCACACATTTGAAATTATGAAAGATGGTGCAGAAAAGCAAATGAGTTTTATATACGTACATCAAGAAATCAGGGACCGCAACTTATATAAATAAATAAATAATATTTAAATAAGTTCTAAAAATGATTTCCTGAGTTTTTTAGTTTATGCACAGTACTAAACAAGTTGTTATACTCTCAAGAAGAAGAAGGCGTGACAGATCTCCCAAAGTACTATATTCCTAATAACTGTGGCAAGGCCATTTATCCGCATATCCGTCCGTTTTATTGTAAATTTTAAGTTCTTGCTTTGGTTATTTATGGGTCATTTATTTATTTTTCTGACATATTTATAATTTTACTTAAAAAAAGTAACGATTTAAATTTTGAATATGTTTTTCTCCCCTTTGTGTTTTTTTTTTTATTTAATAACAAAATAAATGTATAATAAGAGGAATATACAACGTGCCTTTCAAGGCTTATTATCGCCCAAAGCGATGGGAATAATTATAAAAGTATGGCATATATATGTACATATGTGGAAAGTTAAAGTACCAGTACTGCGGGCCTAAAAATAATAGCAGGGGTAGATAGTTGGGGTAAGAATAGCACAGACGCTCCTTTTTGTGGCAAAAACGCCTTTGGTTATTCGCGTTTCTACAAATAATTGCATTAAAATTGGAATGCAACGAATTTTTCAATTTAAAAACGTCTCGACTAGTGTCTCGGCCACACACACACACACACACACACACACACACACACTTACACACATACACAAACATGCATATATACTGGGACAGCACACAATACTGCCTTACAATGTGCGAGCGCTTATCGTGAAGGACATGTGACAGGCGCAGTGCTCGGGAGTTAGTTTAATATGGCGGCCTTTCTTATTGCCATTTCTAGTTGCAGCTGCAGGCGGGAACAATATGAAGTTGTGGCATGCATTGTTTGTGGCCATGTGTCCATACACACACGTGTCTATATATACAAGACTGTGTTATATATGTGAGTGTGTGTGTGTGTGTGTGTGTGTGTGAGTAGCAGGCATTCTTCAGGCTGACTTTACAGCGCACAATTGTTTGATAATGACACTGACATGATGCTGCTGTGACAACTCACAGGAAAGACGACAACTGTGGCTCCGGCAGCAGAAGCGGCAGGAACAGTAAAAACAGCAAGGACGACAAGAGCGACTGCAATGGCAATGGTTCCTTCGAAGCTCAGACAACCGGCATTGGTTGTCCTTTTTTTGGGCAGAGCCCAAGAAATTATATACGAAAATTACTTGTAACGGCTGCCGCAAGCAAATTCCTGATTTGTGTGCCCCAGCAGCATCAGGAACTGTCCCTCTGCCAGTTCCACAGCTCTACCAATAAGCGTCCCCTGCTGCCATGCGAGCTTTGCTTGATCTCATTTCGTCTGACGCTTGTTTTGCTGATTTCTAGCCTCGACGGCATGCGGCGGCTCCAAATTAAGTTTCAAGCAACATGTCTGCAAAAATCATGCCCGAGGACCAATCCCAGACTCCCTCCTCCACACAAAAAAATTACGGCACACTGTCACAGGCAGTTGGCCGCCATCGTTGCCTGCCGCAACGTTTTTATTTTTATTTGGCGTTTTTTCCTTATTTAGTTATTTGAAGAATGGAAATTGTGTTGTGTGTTTGCTGCAGTGGTCGTTGAGTTCCTTGTGGAGTTTCCTCTCACTGCTCATTGTCCTGACTGGCAGGCCGTGTTCTTTTTCGCTCACGATGCTATTTACACTGCCGCAGTCAGTGACGTCGGCGTCGGCATCGGCATCGACATCGGCTGCGAAGTTGGAGCCTGAGTCTCTGGATCTGCGACTGAGACTGAGTCGCAGTCAGAGTGTGAGTCTGTGCCTATTTATATATATTTGCTGTGCTCGGTGTACTTCTTGCGAGTTTGCTGCCTGCATTTGTGTTTGTCTTTTAGTTTATTGTGGCCCGGTAGCGGCGGCATTCCAACTTTTCCTTTTGTATTTGCGCTCCATTGAGGCAAGGAATTCAATTTTAAAACCGCAAAGGACTTGCACAATTGTTATATGAACGTGTATTGGGCTCCACCTTATTCTCAAGCAAAGCCCCGCCATGTACTCGTGCATGTGTGGCTTTTATTACAGTTTGTTTAATTTTAAATGATTTTTGCAATTGATCAATGCACGTAAAGCTGCTTAGTACTTAATTAATAGCACAACAATCATACGCAACGTTGCCCGCCTTGAGCCAACACCAACGGGAAGAGCAAACAGAGCGACTGGTAAACATCAGTCTTAGCGGCCGAGCTTAGCCGGCATCTTAATTAAGCTAAAATGGGCTCAATGCCTCCGCAATGTCTGGCAAACAATGCAGCAGCACGGCAAGAACGCACAAAACCGCAACAGGATTTGCTGCCAAACGAATGAGTTTCCAAGCCCAGACGGATAGCGAACACTTTGATGGCAATTAATTAAAACTCAGCAACAATGCCAACGACAATAACATCAATAAAAAAATGCACCTGTCGACTGAAGATTTCAAGCTCTTCCAGGCTTCCATTCAGATGACATGCTCGTCGAGAATCGCAAGCCAAATTAACAGCAAAGATAAATTTATTAGACGAAAGTTTGAAAATATAAAACAATAGTATGATAGATATTCGCGCTTCTTTTAAGCTATATTAAGTATTACACATAAGTAAGTAGTTAGGTTTAGTAGTTTAGTAGGCTTGTAGTTAGACATTTTCTAATTTCAATTATTAACTAAAATTAAAATTCTATTGTATAGAAATTGTTATGCTTTTGAAGTAAAAAACAAATTTCCAGATTTAGTTTTATTACTATTATTGATCGACCTGTAGACTTAGGCCATAACATAGCAGATGAATGTAAAATTTGAAAACCACAAAAGCTTAATCGCAAAAATAGAGAAAATAAACAAATAATTTTAGATATAACTATACTTTTTTATTTCATTGTATTTTCTATAGGCATAGTTGCTTACTTTTGTACTCCTTACAGACTTTATCAAATATTTGTTGGTTAGTCACATTGAAAATTGACTCTCCTTTCTCCATTCCTCAATCTACATCTTCATTGCCTTCATAGTGACCATAAGGTCGTCTATTAACTGCTTCAAAGCCACAGAACAACCGACCATACCAAAAGAAATGCCACATACGATGAGCGCAATGTCCCTGAACAACTTCCAGTACAGCCTACCATAACCGATATCATAATTGAGAAACATATCTATTAATGCTGGACAAAATAGATTCAGATTTGATAGAGAAAATGCTCCTTCTAATGCTGTAAGCGCCGCCAGGTTGGGAACTATCACAGCTACTACGCCTAGAAGAGATGAGTTCGGAACATAAGTCTAAAATCTTTAAATCTCCATTAAGAACATACCCGTCAGCACCAGAAATATGGTACGTGTGATATACTCCGTGCAATGGTTGGACTTTTGCAATTCACCCTCATTCGCGTATTCGCTGAAAATCACGGTTATTGCAACAAAAGCATTCAGTGGATAACTCAAAAAGATGCCGCTGGCTATAGTGACCTTGATGAGCTGCGAGATTCTAGAGAGAAGCTAAGAAGAGTATCAAATAAGCGTGCTTAGTCACTCACATTTCGTCTTGCGGTATGTTTAACGTCACACTGGCCTGGACTTGATCGCCATATCGCCAATAGCCCATGATGCCAAAGCACACATTGGAGAAGAGAATGAAAAATACGGCCAGGTTAAGAACACCGAATGTGCCCAAATATTGTTGCGGATGCGCCATATTGGCCTCGACAACAAGCATCTATAGTCGCCAAATAACAATTACTGGAAGGTGGAGCTCCTTCAATTCACTTACCGAGCCAACAGCAGTTAGCGAGAACGCTGCAATGCCAAAGAAGAGAACCCATTCGTACGGATGAGTCGATAGCACACGCGAATCAATGTTGGGCAGACCTCGAACCAAATAGTACATTATGCACGCAAATCCCAAATAAAGCAGCACATTAGAGAGCAAATTCAGCGGCACCAGATACTTAAGCTTGCGAATCATAAGCAGGGGGAAGAGCAAAAAGCAAGCGCCTATTACATAAAACCTTTCGCTCACGTTACGAAAGTAAAAGTCGCCGATCTCCTTGAAGTTCTTGGCCACAAAAACCAAATAGACCGTGCACAGTCCGAATTGGCCAATCACCAGCACACAGCTGGTCATCACACTGGCTGTGTGGGCCAGCCAGTGTAAGCACTTTGGCCCCTGCTCGTAGGCAATCTGTATGGCCTCGGGCATGGAGACTTGAGGTACTCGTATGCGACGACAGCATTCGGTCATGCCACTGATCTGCACAGAAACTAAACATGTACTAATAATACTGAATCCTAACATTCACATCTACTCTACCGACCAGCAGATGTATGCTATATGTCAGCAAGATCATAAGCAGCAGCGATATCACCGCTCCAGCCACAATACCCGAGTGGCGAAAAGCCAAAGGCATGGCCAAGACTCCCGTGCCGATCACGCACTTCAGCAGCGATATGAACGCATCGAAATTTCTGTGGAATAGTAGCTTTAGTGCAGTGTCAAGTAGACAGACCGACTCTAATACCCACGTCAATGGAACCTCAAGTACACGCTTTTCATACGGATTGTAGTAGTAGAAGGAAGGGCGGGAGCGGCTGTAAGCAGAAAGGGGTTAGTTATAAAGAAGAACTATGGATTAGTACAACCAGCTTACTACTCACACCTCGGGCAGCGACGGTTCCGTCTGCGTTGTTGTTGGTGGCTGCTGCGACTGCGTTGCTGCCATTTCGTTGGTAACAATACAAACGGAACGGCCAATTTGACAAAAAACTCAAATCACATGTGCAATAGCTTGTATGTTTCTTTTTTAACCGATTTCAAAAAAGAGGAGGTTATCAATTCGTCTGTATATTTTTTTTCTTTTATTTAAAATCTTATTTAAAAAAAAAAACATCTCATTTGAGATGTATTGACCAAACATACGATCACAGCTAAGGCACCTAAATAAAAAAGGGCCTTAATTTCATGAAATGGTTTGTTTTTTCTTTAAGCCGCTGTAATGTTAAATCTACAAAAAAGAGTAAAAATTAAACAGAAATTTTCTCGAACATACGGGTAGCAGAATAATTTAGTTGGCAATGACACAAAAGCAATTTTACTAAAAGAATTCGTCTAGACTTATTTAGGGTGCACGATCGCCTGTTGATAAGAGCAGGTTTGCTATCATACTGCGACGAATTGCTTATAATTAACTGAAGAAGTCGTTCTCAGCTATGTTCGTCGTACATATGTGTGTTCGCCCAACATATTTTGTTTTGTTGGGCAAATCTAAAGCTACAACTTTTCTATTTTGAATTTAAAATAAGAATGCTGCTCATACTCTTACTTAAGGCCTTTGTTTTAGTGGGCAGCTGCGCACGCGACACGCATTCAATTCACTTAAAACTAATCAGCGGTCTTAGAATATCATTAAATTGGCTGCACATGCTCGTAAGCTGGGGAACTCGCGATGGCGCGATGGCGGCGCACAAAGCGACAATTACCATAATAAGTGCAACTTATTGCATACTTTTGTGCGCAGGCATGTTGCATAAAATGCAGAAACTAAGTGTGCAGCCGCTCATCTGACAGTTTTCAAAAGCTAATATAACGGCGACTGTGACTACCACTGGGATTGGGACGCCCAAGCTGTCGACCCCTAGATCGTCGCTGGTAACACCGCCGCTGAGCGCCGTTCGCCGTTCGCCATTCGGCGATTGTCATGCCAGAATGTGCACTTCCGCTTCCGTTTAGTTGTGAATTTAGCAGTAAATTGAATTAAAATTTATTGTGAAAATTGCAAATTCCAAAACGCAGTACAAGAAGCGCTTGCGAGTAGTGTTGTCGGAGCGTTGGTGGAGGCGTCGGCAAAATCCAATACAAATAAAATTAAGTAAAAATTCACACACACACACCCACACCCACACACAGCAGGCAGATACAGCGAGATAGAGAGATGGAGGATGAGGGCGAGTGAGGGTGAGGGCGAGGGCGAGCCTTGTCTGCGCTCTTGTGCTGTGTGTTTGCACAGAAATATGCAAATGTGATATTGTCGCTGGCGACATTTACAACAATTACAATAACAACGGCCGGCAAGGAACGAAAGGGGCCAACGGTGGCAATGGAAAAGGCACCTAACTGCGTGCGACATGTGACACGATATTCAAATAAAGGAGCACAGGCGAACAAATCGAGTAGATCTGGGTAGGGCACAGCAAGTCGAGTGGTTGGGGGCAGCAAGGGCAGGGTGGGACAGAACGCGTCGGACGCATTTATAGCATATATTTTGCATAAAGGGAAATATGCAGAAAGAAAACGAGCGCAAGCAGCACAGAAATCAAATAAAACAAATTTGGAATTTTACAGTGAACAGGATTCTTGCATGCATGTGAAAACTGCGAGTGCCCCAGTGGGTAGTTAAAGACGTTGGAGGGCGTGCTGCATGTTCCTTAAACTGTCAGTCGCGCGTTGTATTCCTGACTTTGTCCTGTAGTTGTGGATGTGTGCGAGGGCAGATGTACATGATTGTCAAGACATTTCTCAATAAACTGCTCTTAAATAGTTACGAGTATATTTGTTATGTTTAAAAAATGATCGAAATTTACCAAATTACTTGTATTCTTAAATGCTATTTAAAGTTGAGCTGCTATTGCAGCAGGCAACCAAGAGGAACAAGGAATTTCAGCTCTTTAGTTATACAATTACTATAATCTCTGAATCATTTTGTATAATTTCTGAGTAAAAAATATAATTTCAACTTCCATAATTTGATATTCATGCAATTGCTAATAATAAAGAAAAATTCCTGATAGTTAAAGCAGTTAATATCCCAGCATTATAATATTTAATATTTTGCTTGCTGAAATATATTTGTTTTCCTCATCATCGAATTACTAATAATAATCCCAAACATAAATTTATAAAAATAAAAATATCATTCATTTATTTCATTTATTTATGTTTCGACTGAAACATGAACCATTTACAACAATGTTCACCATCATTACATGATTTTTTATAAAGCACCCCTCGTACAATCGTATGCGTATGTGCTCGCTTGTCCTTTATTTTGTTTTCTTTTTTTGGAAAACAAACAGACTGACATTCAATTTAAATTCCTATACAAATAATGGCAGGACAGGACGGGCGCAGTGCGGCAAGGGTTGCGAAGCGTAGATTGTGTTGACTTTTGGGTATTAGAGCTTGATGCCGCAACTGCCAAGAAGCAAATTAACGCAGCTTTGTACAAGTAGAATGAAAACACCGCTAGTCCAAAATGGTGCCAAAGGCATGCCCAGAACTTCCGCAACTTGAGGACTTGCAGCAGACTTGCTGCACCGTCATCAATATGGTCGCTCCTTGTCATCCGTTAAACCGAAAATAAAATCCTTTGAAGCGAAAACTTTGCTAATGCAAGGCACGCACAGTGCTCTACGCGAACAGCCAGTCAACACAGTGACACCTTGCATCGTCCTTTGTCCTTGGCAATTTGCGTTTACCTGACTCTGTCCAAGCCCGACACGGCATCAGCGGCATTCAAAACATTATCACTGCGTTTATCGGGCGCTCGCCTCACCAACGACAGTGGCATCATCCATGTTATCAACAGCTTAGCTGCCTGGCTACAACTTTGATTGTGTGAAGCGAGAGAGAGAGAGAGTGAGAAAGGGATGAGGAGTCTGTGTCTCAGCAGCCACTGCACTGTGTTGCGGCTTCGTTGCCTTCTCACGCTGTGCGCATCAATGATTTTGATCAGATTTCCTGGAATCGCTGTCCAGCGACGCAAGACCCCTCCACCCACCCCCTACGCCCACTCTTATCCGCGCACTTATCTCTCCTTTTCTAACAATATTTTTGCATTTATAATGAAATTCATCGTTCATTTTTCATACTTGCACAAAGTGGATTTTTATTAGATTTGCATTATCTTTTTTTTATTGCGCTGGGTGCTGGGTGCATTTTACAAGCATTGAATAGCAGTAGCGTTAATGTGGTTTAAGCCAGCTGGGCTCTGTCTAGTGAAGCGGCGCGCGAGGGCGTGGCCACAGGGACATGTCGATGCGGGGGCATCGCAGCCTTGCTCTGCATACCTCACGTTGCAGTTTTATCTGACAAAAAGGAACAAAGGCATAGCCAAAGTGTTAAAGAGAATCACTTAATATGGCACCCCACACTCACTTTATTCCTTTCGTAGTGGCCAAAGAAATAAACAAACAAAAAATAGAAGAACTCCACTGCAGTAATGAAGCTGATGCCAGTAAAGAGTCCAATGCAACCACCGTAAGATACTATTAAAAATTATTTAGTTGTGAATACAAATTGATTACAATAAGTTACATGCTGGTCTAGATTTTAACACGCTTCTTTTTTACCGATATAATTTTTATACTTTTATACGAGTATATCACAATTAACCAACACTTTTACAATTAAGCGCAAGCTATAGAAAATCCTGCAACGTTAGGGATAGAAAATAGAAACTAAACTATGCTGAAACCTGACCAGTGATCGAAGTATTCTGGGTGTCTAGCTAATAAATATGGAAATGTTCGAATTTTGATTTTTAGAACGTCTACCGATATATTTTATAAATACAAGTAGTGTATTGAGCGGACTATGAACTATTATCCGAAGAATTAATATTAAATGATATATTTTTCACTTTGATTTGCCTACACCATGATTACCAAAATGAATACCAAATAAATACAAAACTAGTACTATATCTTCCATATTACTGAAATATCAAATAACCAAGTGTGGATCAATATCGGGATTTTACCATCGACCGCTCTTATGAACTATACTGATATATCCGTAGTGCAAAATTTCAATATAACTTCAAATAAGTAAATAAAATAAGGAAATATTAATGCCAAATCTATGGCTGATAGATACGTATTCAGGATTGTTAATAAAATTATATTTTTCGCCTGATCGAATTACGAAAAATTTAGTAATAGCAAAAAGATGGTATTAAAAGCTTGGCAACTTACGAAACAACTCCAAGGGACCAAAAACGACTGTCCTGCGCACAACAAAAAGCGGCCAACTCGATAAACGAATTGTAATTCTGCTGCCAACAATACCACTTTCTTTTCCATTATTATTTTTCCAAATTGTGGTTGGATAATAAAATACGTTTTCGCAGCTTTGAGGACAGCTTTTACAAGTGCTAGTTCGTATGGAGTTGCGATTGCTAATTAGACACCCCAAGTTTCTGATATTACACCAGGTGGCATTAATATCTGAATACGAGCAAAATTTCAATTATTTCGGCTTTAAGATTTGTCAATGGATGTTAACTAACTAACTTTTGAAAAAATCGTTGTAAACGTGGGGTAGACAATTGCATTTCTCGACAAACAGCATGGCATGGCAAAAGTTAAGGCAAAGGGATTCATCATAAAACGTGCTCCTGATATACGGCTTCATATCATTAAACATCTCGTTAGAGTAATAGCACTTTCGCTGCCTGTAAATACCATAAACAGCATTGATAATACCTCCATCTTATAACTTACCAAGGTCTCAGAGCCCTAACAGCCGGTGTGTTAAGTATGCCAAAAATCTTGAAATTAATAGTCGTGTGATATTCTGTGCTCGGCGTAAAAGTTGACTTGTCCCTCAAAGAGAGCAGATTGGTGGTTGATTTCATATATATCTGATTTCAGAGGTGAAACACGTATTTTATTAATTGCATTATACTTACCCTAGCATCCTTGGCGTTTCCTACCAAATCGAAGCTGAGATGCCAATTCGGGCTTGTTTCCTCCAGAAAAAACATCTCATTTCTACGCATTCTTAATGAACGGAGAGATTAGTTGAAATGTTTATCAGACAACAGATCAAAACCTACTTTTCATTCAAGGAATTACGCTGCATCAGAAAACTATTAAACACAATGCAAGGTCCCAGCTCAGTTAGTTGCATATCGAAATAGCGATGACAGGAGAATTGCCTGCTACCAAATGAACAATTTTTTAACATCTGATCAACGTCTATGGATTCCTGTGGCACCCAATATGGCAGTTACTATGGATCCAGTTAGTGCGCAATGATTTTTCTTACCTTCATGTTGTGTAAATATGCGTGGATATTTAAGGATGGCAAAATTGCAGTACAATCGACAACGCTTTCATTGTATTGAAAACTAAGGTGCACATAATTCCACAAACACTGATTTAACCATTCGGGTGTGGCCTTCGTTGATACATTCATCACTCGCTCTGGACATATAAAGATGGCTGGGAACTGAATGGGTTGCCCAGGATCATTCACATCAATTGTCGATATGGTGGGCTCCGTTTTGAACCGCCAGTACAAAGAATACACTATAATGAGGTATATCGTAATGCTGCAAAACCAGACCAGTAGCCAAAAGTAACGCGCAAACTTTCGGTTCTTCGACCCCAAGTAATGGACACAGCTTAGGGTGGTGAAAAGAAAAAAAACATCGAACTGCCTCCTGAGATAATGCAATACGTATTCAAACCCAACAGCAATCATCGTGCAAACAAAAATGAATTTAAATATATAGACCCCAGCAGTATGCAGGTTTTATGCTCTACACCTCAAGTATAAGGGTATATCGATGTACCATGCAATCGGAATCATATATTTTGTCGGCATGGAAGGGATTGGATCGAATAGATATAACAGAAATAATAATAAATTATATCTTTTAATTTAAAATATTAAAAAGATTTTTTTTTTACAACAAATTTTGAACTATTTATATTATACAACAAATAAATTGTATAAATGAATAGTAAATAATCTGTAGTATCCATTATATGATGAATGAACTATGTTCAGTAACAGAAATACTTTCTATGATTAAATCCATTTTTTCTTAAGACAAGAAAATAATATTTTTAAAAAATGAATGATTAATTTAATTATTTTTATTCTTATTCTGATTCCCATAAAATATACCCCACATTGTGTTTCTGCTACGATTTTTAGTTTTATTTTCTTTGAACTTCTTCACGTTTAAGTTATCGGCAGCGAATTAGTACAAGTAAGCTTCCAATAGGTAGGCGAAACACTTAAGGCCTCTAGTAGAAAGGAGAAAATTCTCAAAAATTGTAGTCAAATTTTGAGTAAACGAACCTGTTGGAAACAATTTCACGTTTCACTCATCATAATGTTCGGAACCTACAAAGGACAAACACATTTTAGATATTGAAGGGCATAAAAATTCGACTATGCCTTAGAAAACTCTTTAGATTTAACTAATGTGATATTAAAGTACTTTACAACTACAGCAAACACCTCTCAGTCATACAAAACATGTAGTTGGGTGTGGGGCGTGCGTTCATTTGTTATGTATATTTTCCACACAATTTGTCAAAGCTTTTCATATATACTTGTACACACACCTGTCTAAGGATGTGTGAGTGCGTCGATTAGGGGTAAGGTAACTATTTGAAAATGCGCATGCTGCAAATTTCTATTAGACGAACTGTCAGTCATTGGCAGCAACGTGAAAGTCATACGATGATATTTCAAATAATTGCACACCCCGCGACCCCACCTCGGCAACAAAATATAAACGATATTTTTAGTTACCGACGAAGCACGCACCAGCACGGTGCGACAACACCCTTCACAGCACCCATAGAAACACAAGAAAGGACACAAATAGCAAAGACAGTGACAACAGGCACGATAGAAAACGTCTGCCTGGCCATAATTGAATGTTACACGTAAAATATTAAAAGAAAAAATACTGCTAAGTGCATGTGTACAGCGAAGCTCTCTGCGAGCACGTAACTCAATGAGTCAGCCGCAGAAAGACTGGCAGCTAATCAGTCCGCAATAATAGCCATGATGAAGAAGTGCAAGTCCAAATCCATTTGAATAGTGCGCCCAGATGCACATAGACACATTTGCTAACTGCTTTGGAACTTGGTGCTGCCATATAGTCGGAATTTAGATGCAATATGCATGAAACATCACAAAGTGTTTTTTTTTTCTAATAAATGTGGTCGATAATTTCCTCACTTGCTCACCTCTAGAACAAATGAGTCGATTGCAAGTCCATCCCTGGCAAGCGATGCAGAAAAATTAAAAACACAGCAATTACACAATCTCAGGTGTGTGTCCTTTGCACCACAGTCCTCGTATTGTTGGCAGCAACGCAATGGCCATGTTGACGCGCCTCACCAGCGGTGGCACCACAACAGTGACGCCCAGCTCACCAAAAGGCTTGCAACGTTTCCAAAACTATATTGCAGCCTTTCTCTGGCCAGGATCGCAGTCGCAACGTCACCAGCGTAAATCGACACAGCTGGACGCCATTGATTGTTTCACCAATGATCTAGTCAGTCGTAAGACACAGAAATGGGAGGAGCTGCGTGACAACTTGATGAAGCCAAACACGACAATCGAAGCAGAAAATAACTATGCAGGTAAAGGCCCCAACACAACTCATACATTGTCATAAGTCCACATTTATTATGCTGGCAAGCTATTACCAATTACTTTTGTGTTTCACAATTATTTTTGTGTTTCAGCTGATAACAACAGCAACATCAATGTGGGAAAGAGCGGCAGTATGACAGCGACGGCTGCCAGTTTCAATAAAAGCGTCGGTCTTATGTCCAAGGGCATGATGAGTGATTTGCAGGCTCTGCGTTCGCCGCAACTGGGTCTGGACATACGTTCCCTCTCGCAGCCGCAGCTGGACAATTTGCTCCTGGCCACGCTGGAGATCAAGAACAAGCTAGACTTCCTCTACTTAATACGCCAGTGCATACGCTGGCAACAACTACCGTCCAACGAGGTGTTCATCGCCTGTCTCAAGTACTTGAGCACGCTGAGTCGATTGCAGCAGTTGGATGCGCTTGCCGAAACATGCCGTGATCTAAAGCATCCGTTTGCAAAAATGTACGCAGACCTGGCTCCTTTCAAGGCCATTGCGTTGTGGCACAATGGAAACGCGGATGTGGCTTTAATGACGCTGCATCGGGGGTATGGCATAAGCCTGGGGACAGACGAGGGTCGACGCATGATACGTGCCGCTTTCCGCACCATTGCTGAGGAGACGCTGGCCCAAAAGAGTGAGGCTGTACTCGTCTCGCTCATGGAGGTGGCGCGCGCAATTCATCGTGAGCACAAGGACATCTTTGTGGTGGCATGTGTGTGGAAACAGTGCTTTGCAAGCGACTGGTTCTGCGACCAGAAGTCAGCCAACGAACTTTTCGAACACTACAAGGAGCTGCAGGAATTGGTCGAACGCAGGTACGTATTACTTCAATTACCAATACCTAAAGCATACTTAGCTTCTGGCTTTACTTTGTCAAAGGGCCAGCCCACTGTGCTCCTCATTCCTGAGCCGCAACAACGTGGATGCAGTGCATCGTCTAATCGAGGTCTTTCTGCAGCACAAACAACGCGCCGCCTGCGCACATTGCCTCAGTTTGCTCTTTAACTACCAATGTAAGTGAAGCACGACCATAGCGTTCTTTTATAATTTTTTTTTGTGTTTAGACCTGCGTAAGGATTTACGCGCCTGCGCCGAGATTGTGAAGTCCTGCAGTGAACTGGAAATGCCGCTGAGCGAGCTGCAAAATGAACAGTTCCTTAGCCTGTTCCTCGATCAAAGTGATCCCTTCGAAGCGACATCGGTTGACTCGTCTACTAAAACGTACAAATCGCCCAAGTCCTTCCAATATAAATTCTAAATCTAGCGGTATATTGCTTCTTATCCGAGTTAGTTTGATCGTTTGCATTGTAGTGTGAGCACCAAAGCGTGGCGCCACGCCCCACATCATGTTCGTTCTAGAGCAATAAGCTAATTATCCCTAGCACCTCCTTTCATATGATTCACCTAAAAGATGTTGATTGAGAAGCCAAATGTAGCGTTGATTCAATAAATGTGTTATTTAATGTCCAAAATCAAGTTCCAGTCGTCCCTTCATTTAGATTGCCTTCTGGCAGTTGTGAGGACGCAATACCCATACATTCGTAGCAGCGTGAGATTAAATGATTCCCACAACGATGCGCCAGACACTGTTGGCAGCGCGAACGTGCCTTCGTCTCCCGCTTAGAGCGAGCACAAGGCTTGCATCTTCTATGCTTCTCCCCATAACGACTGCTTAGCGTAACCCCATCCGGGAGCACGGCCTTATCTAAGTTGAGTACACCGATACCCTGCGTCTGTTTGGCATCACTGGCCGCCTCACTCAACAGTCGCTGACTGGATTGCCCGAGAATCTCGCAAATTTGCAGCTTCATCACCAGTGTGGTGGTGGATCGACGCAACAGACGTCGCTGCAGTCGCTGTTGCGTCAGAAACAAGCCCAGTTGCCGCTGGAAGTCGCGCTGCTCGATTAAAGCTTCTCCCTTGGGCGAAAGACGGAGCAGCACCCACGCATTGAGTGCGGCCGTATTGAGCATATGATGCAGGAATTTGAGGAATGTAGGCTGCTTTACTTGCGACGGTCTCGTGGCCAGCACGGTACTGTATCTTTGGGCTAAGTCATGGAACTGTGCACAAGTCTGAGCCGTCAAAGCGTGCAAGCTGGACGCGTTAACCTGTGCGCTGAGGCCGCAGGTGAGCAAATGATTAGAGCCTTGCTGCTTGTGTATTTTAACGTTGTCATAATACAAACATCCCTCAGCATTTTCTGGCCAGTTTTTGGGACAATCCGCTGATGTGATGGGCAACATGCCTATGGAACTCAGCTGACGCTGCAGTAGCTGCTGGCAATTCTGCAGCTTTGTAAAGCGTGGGCCTAACGTCACATTGCGACCTGTGGTTTTGAAGTCGCATATTACCTGGTCGAGATCCTTGTCGTGGGACACCTTCTGCCTCAGGAGCACTGCATTAGCCATGAACAATGTCTTAGAATCGCAGCAAAGCACCAATCGCATATTATCCAAATTCGAAGGCTGTTCATCCACGCAAACCCAACTGCTGGAGCCGTAATATGAACGTGAATTGATCAGCAGCTTTTGCCAAATGCGCTGCACCTCGTCCCAACCTTGCTCCGTGCACAGGCAATCGGTAATGAACTCAAAGCGTGTGAGCGTCATAGTCGCTCGGAATATGGCGTTGCCTAGTTCTAAAGTCCAGAGCTCCTCCAGGGGTCCATTGTACTGAGCATTGCGAAATACGCCACACAGATAGTTTAATCCCAGCCAGGACCGTAGCTCTGTTAGATCCGTAGGCCGCTGTGATACTCCTCTGGTGCGACGTTTACGGATCTGATCGTTAACAAAGCGCAAAAGTTGCCGTAACATATCGTCATCGAATAGCAGCATCCAAGATTCGACGGCGTTTGAGACCGTCCTGGCCGGACCTTTGCCACAAGCCTGGTGCACAGGCAGTGGCAACTCCTCCTGGCTGGTTGCATTCAGCTCAGCGCTCCAGGTATAGCCATTACTGGAAATGTAGCTGCCAGACGAAGGACGTCCGCGTTTACGTGCTTTGGCCAGAACTCGTCCCTCGGATCGCAGAACTATATCTGCAAGCTGTTCCTCACCGACTAAGAGATCGCTATCTTTAAACAACCACTCGAAGTCCGACGAGAACGCGGCCTGTTCCTGTAAAGGGTCAGCATCTTCTCCAGCCAATGTGCACTCTTTATAATCCTCTGGCGACGTCGGTACCAAATAGTCTTCCTCCATTTTCTCGTCGTCACCCTCATTGTCGCTGCTCTTCATATTAGCCAACAACTGCTCATCAAGCACAAATTCCATGTGATCATCTGCACTCATTTCGAACTCATATTTTCCCAACACAACAATATATTTACATATTCGTAGAGATGCAATAAAACATGTAATACTGTAATATGAAGGGCGACGTTTACTCTTTTGACGCTGTTCAACACATAAAACTCGTGTTAGACACTACTTAAGTGTGCTCCCATCTCTATATCATCACATAAACAATAAAAGGCCAAACGTTCTCGTTTTTGCTAATCGCCAGCTCTTACTCTGGTCGCCGTAAATTCCAAGATTTGTTGCATTAGTGTGCCAATTATAGTGTAAAATCAAATTAAAACGCATCTCAGACCTTTGGCGACTTGTATTTACGCGCGCGTATTGACGATTTGTCAAAAATTCTTCTTCGTATTAAAAGTGTCAATTTGACATCTTATACTGTCACGGCTGGCCTTATACGGCCCTTGCGGAAAAGTCTTATACTGAAAACTGGCTGTCGACATGCCACGATATTCGATTATTTCATAGCACTAGGTAAGAAGTAATCGGCATGATGTGACGGTTTTCTTCTATTACCGTTCTTTCAAATTTTTTCTGCTTTTTCCAAAGGACATGTGCATTTGTGATTACGTATAACTTAAGTATTTATTTTAAACCGCGCAAGACACTCTGTATATTATAACACGTTTTTTTAAGTAATATCCTATTTCAAATTAAAAAGAAGTAGGCTTTGGTTGTCATGTTTAACGACAGGCGTAGTCCAAGTTAGTTTAATTTCAAAGCCCGAGCTGTGAACACAAAATTTTGTGGAAAAAAATACGAGAAAATTTTCTCCGAAAAACTTGCGACTAAATAACAAACCGAAAAATAATATTTAGCGTTTGCGTGAGATAAATAAAAAAGATTTTTCAAAAGTATTCACTTGTTGCTTAATCATCTATCCTTGACGTGTCGGTCCTTGCTTGTGTGTGTAACGTTGTGTTTTTGTCTTCGATTTTAGACGTTTGCCGCTTGCGTAGACTTGAATAATGATTTCGCCGGAGCAGGAAGAGGTTAATTTGGTGCTCGACCGCCAAGTTCGCCAGAATATCCAGGATATGATGCATGAAGCTCAAGTGCAGGCCACTTTGTTGGAAAGCGAAGGTGAGTTTTTATCTGATGTCTATTGTACCCCTGCTATTGTATGATTAAGGATAAACAAAATTTGAAATCCTATTTCAGGTCGCGAACGTCTGCACTCTGAGTCTAGCGTGGATCAAGACGCTTTGCATCACGATACTATGACTGTCCTTGGCACCATATCAGCTGACGAGATAGTCGAAGAAGATGACCTTACATCCGAGCACGGTATACAGGAAACGACTGAAATACAGAACTACCACGACATGATTGTTGATAATGAACATCATATTGATATAAATGGGTCGCTGCGCAAGCGCCGCGGCAACTTGCCGAAACATTCTGTGAAAATTCTAAAGCGTTGGCTCTACGAGCATCGTTACAACGCCTACCCCAGTGATGCTGAGAAATTCACCCTTTCTCAGGAGGCCAATCTGACGGTGCTCCAGGTCGCCAGAGATGCAATTACTTGTTGTTACTCCATCTAAATATTTTATATCTAACTCTCCAGGTTTGCAACTGGTTCATCAATGCACGTCGTCGTATATTGCCTGAAATGATTCGTCGCGAGGGTAACGATCCGTTGCACTTCACCATCTCACGCCGCGGGAAAAAAGTAAGCCCGAACTCTTCAACTGTGATGAATCAGGGACCGAGTAGCAGTGCTCCTAATCCCATAACAGGCAGCCCTGCTTCTGAAGTGGTATGTTTGACAAAAACAAGAATTTTGTTTCACGTGCGAGTTATTATTTTCAACTACTACTAGATTTGGAAGAATATATTTTTTTTTATTTTACTTCCGCTTAGGTTGTTGGCGCCACCGAGGAGGTTGACAGCGCTGTTGAAATGCACGACGGCATTGCTAATGTGCTCACCAATTTCGATCAGTATGTTCAGGGCCCCAATGGACAAATTGTTAAGATGGAGCCGGAATATGACGAAAGCGTTATTTACAGGTAAGATGCTGCAATGCAGCTTGTGTAATTAAGCTGCCTTTTTAGTTGGTAATTTTACAATCAAGCAACCACCACTTTCCCCCAAAGTTGGCAACAAGCAATAGCAAACAATCCTCTTGGCTTCCAAAGTCTTCATTCCTCGCTTCAAGCAACAATGATTGATAAAATACAGAACTATCAGCTGCGCAAGGCAGCCATGACTGGTGTGAGTGGAAGCCGTAATTCAATTTTGCCGTATAGCCTCTTCGGGCAGCTTCCCCCAGAGTTTGATGAGGACAGTCAGCCGGCACCAAAGCGCGGTCGCAAACGTCAACAAAGCAAGTCGGAAAACGACCAGTCGAAAATGATCAAGTTGACCAAAGATGTGGCACATCCAGGTTCAAAACAGGAACAGAAACAGTGCATGGAACTGAGGCAGCTAGAGGAGGCACCTGTTTTTTATTGCCAGGAGGATGTCCTTAAGAGTTTCATGGTTGCGCCGAGGTACATGGTGGCTCTCACGCGCACTTGCTTCTTTTAGTTTAGATTTAATGTTTTCAAACATATGTGTTTTTAAACCTAGGTGCATTCCATTTTCCATATAATCCACAGATCCGAGGGCGAGGAAAGTGGTCAAGGCTACGAGTCCTGTGAACAGCAAAGCGAAGAAGAGGTGCGCTTTGAAAACTCTGATGACTGGCAGAGCGTGATGAAGTAAGTGGACTGGCAATAGGCAATAAGAGCGCTTATGAAAGCTCGCGTTCGGAAAATACTCCTTTTTGAAATGTTTGTTTCTTCTCGTATTTTATTTCCATAAAACTGATGCTCTGCCTACTACACAACAACAACACATCTCCACATTCATTACGACTCTCTTTGCTCCACAATTTCCTAACAAATATGCGGGACCGTTTTCAGCACCGAAGAGGTAACCACAAGTGGCGGTATCAACAAAAACATCGCTGGCGAGACTGCTGGTACCTCTTACTGGACTCCGGTTGCGGATCAACAGATCTTGAAGTCTGAAGGTATGCTAAGATGTCGAATTTCTTTATGCACCTGATTTCAAATATTATTATTTTTTTGTGCAGAAAACAATCCGCTAATTGTCTCTAATGCTGGCGAGCTGCTACAAACTGTGGGGGCCGAGGCCACCGTGATGACCACTGGAGCCGCAAATGCCGATCAACAGGAAGTTTTTACCATCACCGGGACTGAAAATCCAGGACAACCCATATCAACTCCAGGTGCGTTACGTTTAAAGACGACCAAGTGTTGAAAAAATATTAAATTCCCAACTATTAACAGGCTTGCGCCGTGAAGAACGCGACAAGTACAAATGTCTATATTATCTAGTAGAAACAGCCATGGCTGTTCGTCAAAACGAACCTAACGAAAAGGATGAAGTTTATATGCGCAATTAACCTTCAAAGCTACGTGATGCCCTAAACAATGAAGATCCAATGTACATAGTATTCCATCATTTTTTGAAAAAGAATCGCAGCTGGAGCTGTTATGTTAATGTGTTATGATTATAGCCTATATATATTATAGTTTGGCGGATTGAGCATTTTCAAACATTATTTGTTAATCACAAAACAAAATTGGTGAAAACTGAACAAATCCAAAAATGACTAAATCAACACGAATAACTACACACGCTTTGAATAAAAATAACACCTATTATACAGTAAATTTTTACTAAACGTAATTTATTAGTTAGAAAATTATGCTTAAATAAGACTAATTTTAAATTCATATTGTGTTTGTTATATTAGAAATTAATTTTATGCAATAATCGCTTGCATACATTTTGTAAAAATTAGATACTAGGTCATCTCATGGTTATGTAATGAAATTTTATGCGACATTATTAAACAACTACCGAAAAATCCTTAATGTTTGCCATTCCCACCAACTAGAATTTAAAGTTCCGAGAGCGCGCCACTTCGTGCTATCAATCGGTAGATAGCTATTCGATAAGCAGGTCGAAGAATGAGTCTGCTATCGATAGCAGAGAAATGGGCAGCCAACTCGCATCTCTACGGTGGCACTTTCAGTAAGTTTTTGTTTTTTTGCAATAAATGTTTGCGTTGTGTTGTTTATTGCTGAGGTGAGCGCAATAAATAGAAGTACGAGTATGCTGAAAACGCACTAAAGACTGAAACACCTTCTGTGGCTAAATGAGGCCCGAAATAAAGTCGTCTGAAATTTCGTGTAATTGTATGTAAATCGGTAGTTCTGTGTAAATTACATTTACATTATAATAGCAATAAATTGGCTGAATGAAAATGTAAAGGCTGCAATTGCATCTGGCCAAGTCTACCAGTAAGGCCTAAAACGCGACCGCACAAATCGCAGACGCACAAACAGCAACAGAATCAACAACTACAGCCTCAAACAAAACAAGCCCTGGCTGCCGACCGCACCTGCAGTGACTGCCCCTGCCCGTGCCCCGCTTGCGTGTCCTGTCTATCCTGCAAGAGGGCCAACAACATCAAAGATCCGCTGTGCCGGGTGGCATCGGTGTCAGACGAAATCAGGACATGCAAAGAGCATTTCAATCTGCGCTGTGGGTAAGAGAAAAAAAAAACATTTTTATGTATCGTTCGTACATTGACATCATCAGCATCATCATCCAAGTGCGGCAAATATGTAATCTCCTTCCCACACACCAGAATTTACTTCATGTCTATGGCTTTTTAACCATTCATAATGCGCTGGTTCGTGCGTTGGCATCTTTTTGGTTATTTGCACTTTTACTTTTTCGCTTTTTTCGTTTTGTTTTTTTTTTTTTAGTTTTTACACTGTTGTTGGCCCTGTTTCGACTTGTGTGCTGGCACACCACTTGCGTCATGCCTTGCCACCACTGCCACCGCAGCTACCATCGAACAACTAAGCCACACTTCGAGCTGATTATGTGTTATATGTGCTTTTGTTGCTATTGTTCTTGTTGTTGTGCACTTTTAGCGCAGTTACCGCAGTTGTGCTCCCGTTCCCCAAATGCCGGTACAGTTTTCTGTTTTACAGTTTTGAAAGTGCTTTTTGCTAGCTGTGGCTATTGTTCTGTGGTTACAAAACACAGAGGCCAACATAGCAGTATGTATTTTCCTTATAACCACCGACATATTTTCTTATCATGCTTTCCAAAGTCAATTTCTGCTGAATATTATTATTTATATTTTATTTGTTTTTTGATGCGCACAACGCAAAAAGCTTATCATCATCTTTAAAAATAGTTCTATTCGCAGTAGCTGTCTTTACTTATGTGTACATACATAAATCTCACAAACTCTGACATAAATATATGCATATAATTCTATATACATAAATGTATAGGTATGCAATTTTGAGTGTGGCTCAATCAGTTTTCTAAATGCGCTCTATATTTAAACAATCCAGCACTTCACTACTTATGAATGCATTTATTTTCCTCTCAATTTTTGGGTCAACTCAGTTTTCCACTGTATTTTTAGTAACGTCGCCTATGGCGGTGCTATTTTCGGGCACGTGCCGTCAGCAATACCCTGCTCTGTGTCGTCGTCGCACCGTGGATAATTTGTAAACTTTATTGCTATTAAAATACCCACAGTCTCATTTATATATATATATATATATGTTATATAACAAAATTTATTTCGCTTAAAATTAACTCGTAATTTATTCACAGGCATGTTTTTGCATCACTGTATATGAGATTTTCTTTTATGCTTAATTATATAATGTTTTGAATATTTGCATAGTAAATAAAAACAAGCTTGTTTAATCCCGAACATTCTATATGTTTGTTTGGCAATAAACTTATTGCTAAAACAACAAAAGAGAACTTATTGTACAAAGTACAAAAACTTTATTTTCAATTTGTTTCTGCACTCTCGAATAGCCCAAAAATCTAAATAGAATTGAAAACTCTCACCTCGCATTTACATTTTTCAGATTTTACGATCCTTACACTTTGAATTCTTAACGCACAAACACAGACAAAATTATTGGTATGTTCTTATTGCGCAACTTAAAAAAAAAAAGAAATTCGAATAATTAAAATTTCGATTGCCAAAATTATGATAGAAACTGGGAAATAGATTTCAAGCTTCGCTTGTAGTTTCAACTTTGCAATGGTTAAGAAAAACATTCCCATTCACTCTCCTATTTTATACTTCAAGTAAAAAAAACGATTGAAATCAATGGGTAAATTATTCACTATTTTATCATAGGAACTATTGAGATATCTTAATATTGAACGGAAATATTTCTCAACTATTTTCATATTACATTATCATCATTTCGCGTTAAGTTATTTATTTGCGCTAACCATTTGATAAGGCACTTAAACACTATTTAACAACAGTGCTTTAATAAGCTAATTTTTTAAATATTGGCAATCGATTTGTTTTTAAATTAAAACTCATTCAATTCGATCTGATGTGTTATACATGTCTTATGATGTATGGTTATCCCTAAGGGAATGAATAGCTTTGAATTTCCAATCGAGCCACTGTGCCACAAGCGCGTTTGGCTATAAGATGCGTCGTTTAGCATGCACCACAAAATCGCATGGACGTCGCGCATTTGCCAGTTGCTACTAGACATTCAATTAAAGTCTGCTATAATTAACCGCCTGTGTGTGGCAATTAGAAATGGCACAGCTTTTTTGCATTGTTGACGTCCCTAGGCATGTGCGTGGGGAAGGAAGGGGAGGCAGCCATATGCTCTCGCACCTCCCCCGCCTTTAACAAACAAATTTGATTAATATTTGGAGGCAAAGCCAATAGATAAATATACATATGTATGTGTGTGCGGGTTCGACACCTAACAGTGCTGCGCAGTTTGTTGCTACGCCTATGCACAAAATGTTGTGCGTCAGCTCCTATCGCCTGTTGCCACCTGCTAGCCACAAGCAACACATAAGCAAATGCGAGTGGCATGGCATGGCGATGTCATGCAATTCTTTACATGCCATCATCATTCTGTGCTGTGCGCGCTCTTAGCTCGGTCGGTGCGGGTTCCTAACAACTTATTTGTCTGGTTTGCCATACATACATTTACATGCTATATCTACGTGTTAAGCGTCGGTGTTCTCTGCGTGAGTGTTGCATATAACGGCTTGTCGTCTGGCTGAGGGAGCAGATGTTGCCGGTTCGAATGCATGGCTGTCTGCCTCACTTGTTGTGGCACGAACACGAACGCATCACATTTAGTTGCAATTATCAGCTACGCGCATTCGAGACATCGAACTGCTAAATTTCGTATGTTGCTCATACGCCCCGTGTTTGTCAACTTTCGGTCTGTGTTTTTCTGTGTCGTGCTTGGCGCCAAGTGTGAAAGGAATATGGCAATTAAATTTAGCAAAGCCGTAAAAATAATTTAGTGCTCATTTGTTTCTCACTTTCCTTTTTTCAATTTCTGTGAAAACTGCTAAAATGCTGCTATCAAGGCGTTGTTCACGAAGGTGCATAAAATAAAAAGCAATACTAAAAAGAACGCATTCCATTGTGTAAAGTGTTATTCATGATAATGTATCTGTATAGTATATACAAGTACATACATATGTGGTTCATTTCTATAACGCATCGCCATGTAATCGCTGTTTGGATGAGTGCATTGTGCCGGCAGACAGACAGGCAAGCAGGAGATTATCCTGCTGAAGCACTACTCTGTTTGCTTGTTGCACTGAGCACCGCTCGATAAATCGCGTGTATATTTTTTGCCTGGCAGTTGGCATTACCATTAATGGATGGCTAATTGAATAGCCAGCCCCATTCTGCTGGGTTGCGCCTGCAACAGCAACTTCTCGCTGAAAATAGATGCCCAGACCAGTATAGTTCTCCCAAGGCACTCAACCAGTGCCTGCCTGCCTGCCTGCCTGCCTGCTCATGCATAATTACATTCGTGGTCGGTACATTAACGAGCTCTGCATATTCAAGGTTGTGCGTTGCGTTTTCACAAGCAAGCTAGAAGGCAAGGCAGACTCATCATCTACACAGCCTCAAGCGCAACCCCAATCTCAATCCCAACACCAATGCCACCCACTTTTGCATGCCATTCCATTACTGGGACGCTTTGTGTTGTGAAATTGTGCAAAACGATGAGTGCCACTAACAAGCTTCTAGTTACCATTTTTTCTTCTTCTTATATACGGCCTTTTCTTTCTCTGCTTCTGCCAACTCATAGTTGCCGCTACCGTTTGCCGTTGCCTTTGACCATACGCCTGGGTTCACATTATGTGCATTTTGTTGCTGCTTTTGGCGACCGTTGGCGCATCGTGTGCCGTCGTTTTGTTTGTTTGCATACCCTCCTCCCCTCCTATGCAAATGCGTCGGGGCGGCCAGACCTCCAGACAGACAAACACACAGTGTGTACTCACCAGACCCTCACTTTCTCATTTTTATCAATTCGCCACACTTGTAATATTTTTGCTTTTTGTTGTTGTTGTTGTTGTTTTTTTGCGTGTCATTCTTGGGGTGCTTTCTTCGATTCGTTGTACTTGCTAATACAAAATCAATCGGATTGGCTTCGACCGAGCATTAAGCACATTGAGGTGAAGGTTTGGACAGCCAGTCGGTCAGTAGAGCATTAAGACATGCCTTCAAACATACAAGTAATACACTCAAATATATACGTTTTATTGTTGATATTTCGCTTATAATGTTACAACACTTACAGGGATATGCATACTTCGCATTAGCAGCTAGCTTAACATGAATTATAGAGACAAAGTGTATTTGAGACGTAGTTGCCAGAGATCAACATTCAACGTCCATAAAATAAAGCACATTCGTGATTTGGTTGCTGTTTTTCAGATCCAGTTATATCGGTTATCAGTAGCGTGTATGTGTTATTATATTTTTGTAGCTTCTAGTTGTATTTTTGTTCAGTATAGTATAGGAGCCCTGCATGTGTAGCCAACTAATTGCCTAATGAAACCTCCGGTTCAATTCAACTTTTTCACCTGTTTGAAAATTAACTAATCCATCAAACAAAATAATTGTATACTTGTATAATAATTATAAAATAAGAAATCTAATTAAATTTCATTCAATTACAAATACGAACATTTTTTATTTTTCCTAAACAATTTAGTAACAAGGGTTGCACTCTAGCAAGATTCTTTATCCAAAAAATTGTTATATGCGAACATACACTAGCAAACAGAACACGAGTTAACCCACATTCATAGAATTAACCAATTTTAACTTTGGAATTGTGAAAAGTACTTACGAAATCTGTATAAACGAACGGATTTAGATGAAATTGTCCTGTCATGCTGACTAAGAATATATTGTATATAATTTTTACAGTCAGACTGCTTACTTCTGCCTTTTACACACATTGCACAAACTTATAATGCCCAAGGGTATATGCAGAACAATATTCCATTTTTATTGTCGTCATTGTGCATATCAGTTTGCACTGTATCCTTCCTCCATCTTTAATACAACATTATAATAAAACTGAAAAACTCCATATAAGCAGTCTGAGCACTAGATTTGAAATAAAACTGGATGGCGCGAAAGAAATGTTTCGCATGCAGGCTTCAAAAAATAAATAACATCGCAACCCACTGTTGTCAGTCGCCCACCTGTTTCAGTTATTTGGAATTTTACAGCATTAGTCAACCTATTGTTCCAAGACCATGTTTAACCACCACATCTTAGCTGTTGCGGCGCTCAGCTTATTATTGACTTCCAACTTGGACCGAGTAGCATTTTTGATAATGCAATAAAATTGCCCTATTTTAGCTTAGTTTTTAGTATAGTGTCATAATGCCAAGGTCTTTTTTCAAAAACTATTAAAAAATTCGCCCTAAAACCTATCCTATATTCACAAAATTATAAAATTATATTCAAACATCAATGTCTTTCAAATAAATGTACCTTCATTTGTACAATTTATTTTGTAGACTTTTTGCTTCGGGGAAAATTATATGTATATGCAGGGCTCTATTCGTTAAATCTACACATAGCCACTCGACTCAAGCTTTAGGGCACCCTCATATGTAGGCAAACCAGATCTGTCGATAATTTTGCTCATATCCAGACTAACAATGCCGTTGTCATTAATGCTGTCCAAATCGTTGATTGCAGCATTAGCATCTCCCCCATTTGTCGCCGCATTTTCATTCTCATCTGTGGCAACAGCCCCGCTCTCCTCAACGGTAGCTGCCATTGTTTCGATTGCATTTCCATTTGTTGCATCCGCAGTTTTGCCGTCGGCCTCAATATCGTCATCGTTGACAGTTGAGTCAAAAGTTTCTGCGACCATTTGGGGATCTAGCTTCGCTGGCTCCTCCGCCACAACTGCTTGTCCATCATTTGGTAAATTGCAAACGTTGTCATTGACATCGTGTCGGCTATCATCTTCTACAAAACGATGCTCCAGACTGGGCAGGGTCTGGCCATCACGCGATGTTGTGGCCGTGTCCAAAACACTTTCTGTGGACGCTGTCAACGCATCCTCCGCGTCATAACGAAATTTTCCACATAAAGGGCACCCCCTTCGGTAATTGTGACTGTGTTGGTGTGTCTGCTGCAGATATCGTCGCCCAAAACTGTTTAATCTCGAGCCCGTCGCCATGTTCGAGCCATGCTTGCGAGCCTGTAGCGCCGGCGGCGGCGTATATGTCTCCAGCTCCATGCAATTTCCGTTGCCATTGCGCGCAGCTACCGCCGCCGCTGCCGCATACCACATGTTCTCCACCTCAGCGCGCTGCAGGGAGCAACAGGATTGGGCATTCAACACGCGCTTCATGTTGAGAGCTGCTTGCGCGTTCAGCGGCTTTCGGCCGGCAACAGTTTGCGGTGTGCTGCCCACGAAGTTGCTGCTGCTGGCTGCGGCACTCATGGACGATTCAGCGACGCACTCATTCATGGCCATACCATCGGGAGTGCCCCGTCCACAAGTTGCAGCCACTGCCAGTGTACTGATGTCCAGCGTGGAATGATAGCCGGGTGGCGGAGAGACGCGTTGCAGCAATAATTGCTGCTGCTGCAACTGTTGCTGTTGCAGTTGTTGCTGTTGCAACAGTTGCTGCTCATGCAGCACAACAGCATCGTACGATGGCGGTGGCTCGTGATGCAAAGCCGGCAACACAGCCAAACCATCGCTGGAGTCGCCTAAAAATAGGCCAGACGTTTCGTAGCACTAAAAAAAAAATAGAGCGAAAATGTAAAAAAGATGTAAAGAAATTAGTGATGCGTATAAAATCACAATGTGCGTTCGATATGGATAAATATTAAACCGTCGCATTTTTTCCGAAATGAATGCATAAATATTCTTTATAACTCGATTTCAAGTTTACGATTGTGAAACAGAACAAAGATGTGGAGGGTTGAGCCACCTATTCGTTTTGTAAGAAGAATGGATAACAGGCTCCAACTTTTAATATATGTATGTGCTCTTCAGGGAAGCTCACATCTAACATGTCGCGCAGCTTTGATTTGAAACAATATTTAACAAAGCGTTCCCATATATTTGAATGCAAAATACGAAATCCTTTTTAGACTACCAGAATACCTAAATCTGAATTCGGGACTAGTAATAATTACACTTTTTTTGTGTTACTTAATTATCCTTATTAAGATAATCATTTTTTTATAATATTAAACAATGTATGAATGAAACGATTTCTTTTGTTTTCATCTGGAACGGATATACATTTGCAGAAATAGCTTAAAAAATTAAACAACTAAATGTGATGCACAACATGCCATTTATCACTCCAACACTGATTCACCATCAAGCCAGTAGAAAATCGTATTCACTGTTGCGAAAGGATCACAGTTTTCCTCATCACAAATAGAAATCAAATTTATTTAGTCTTGCCACTAGCAATTTTCTATTTCCACTGACTACCGCGACACTTTTCGCGCCATTAGCTGCAATCTGCTGGAAGCAAAGCAGCGAAATATTTACGAAACCAAATAAAAAAGTTTAAATTGCACACATCATAAATTTATTTGTGTAACCCCAATTTAACGCCTCGACGGCTGTCGCTATCGCTATCTCTCTCTTTATTCCTGAACCTACCGCCGACCGCGGCCATGTTGACACTTTTGTGTCGCTGTGAACCGTCAGAGGCTAGAAGTGCATGAAGTGGCCAGAAGGGGACATTAGGGGAGAGGGTGACTAGTGGGCTGGCTGACATGGCGACGCTAACGTTGATTTACGTTGAGCGGCTATGGCGGCGCCTTTTCCCAGTGGGCCAACAAACAACAATAAGCAGTGTGTTGTGGAATAGAAATGAAATAGAAGGGGGAAAACAAGGATGGCTACTAGAGAGAAGTGCTTGCCCTGCGTTGCCTTTAACTTAATAAAGCCGCACACCAAGTGCCTGGCTGCGTCCAATACTAGACAGCTCTAAGTGGTGGGCCTTGACCAGTCCCTTCTCTTACAACTGTTGCCCTTTGTATTTGGCTTTTGCCGCTTTTTCCATTGCTATTGTCACACCTGTTAAATGCGCCGCATAAATATCCATTACCTTTTGGTTCTACTTTCAAACTGTCTCTTGCTGGTCCAAGTGAAATGTTGACTTAAAGTTGCACGCCGGGGGAAAAGCAGTGGCCATATTTAAACGCAATTAATGTTAAAGTCGCCCACAAATGTTAAACTGCTTATCCCGCTAGAGCTATGCTCTCAGTACATACATTGATTTCAATTTAATTGTTTCAACTTCATTTCAATAATTACACAAATGCCACGAATCATTAACGCAACGATAAACAAGTCATTAAAAAACTGATAACAGTGTGCCTCATAGGAAAAAATATAGAAGAAAAGTACTATTTCTAATTAAACTATTTTTTGATGCAGCTTTGAATAGCGCAATGAATCTATTTATCAATGCTTCAAGTTCTTATTAATAAATTCAATAATTAATCTCTTGTGCTGAAGTTATAAAGCCTTCTAATTGAAAAAGGTTCCTTAACACATATGTATGTACCACCTATGCAACATTTAAAATACAACAACAAAAGCAAAAACCTTGGTATTTTTAACCGACTGCATTGACTAATGAAAGAGAAGTACAAGTTTAAAAAAGTACAAACATATGTACACATTTTTGATGACGACTTAGTTTATTTAGTCATTTTAATCTTTCTCCAATGATTCAGAAAAGGCTATTTTTGATAACTACTGCATCTATATCTTAGAAACGAACATTATAATACTATAATAATGTACCCGTATACAAGTATTTAAGTATTTTGTGCCGGAATTCAGTTCGTAGTGTAACTCACCTGCTCAACACTGTAAATTTCCATATTCGGATCGTTCTCCAGCCATTGCCGCTGCTGTCGATATGCGGCCTCTGTACGTTTTTTAATGTTGCGATGGCAACAATAGCAGACCACACACAAAATTGTTGTGACCAATGACAACATGGCACTGCAACAATAATAACAAAAGGATACTATGTAACCACATTATAATAATACTCCGCAAGAGTAAGGCTATGATATTGATTGCGACAGGAATCCGCACAGACAATCAGACATGGCTCCTTATTAATACTGATTGGATTTTATTAATTTTGTTAAACAAATTATGCTGAAATGCACAAAATATCTGACAATAGTTCACATTCATGTATCCCTATGTATGTTTACATATCTATACTATATGCATCGTTACTCTGTATTGTGCTCTGGTCGTGTCGCAATTCACTGCACATAAATTGATAAAATGAATTTTCTGACAAAAGGCCAGAAATACTATACAAGTATACCTATAATGCATGTGTGCGAGTGCTTATGTGTTAATATATAAAGGTGCATTCATCTTGTTACTTGTATTTATTGTAGTAGATGTAACAATCATTATATTTGTATTAAAATTTCAATTACGAAATACAAAGGATGCCATTGTTATTGTAACATTTTGTCCATATTCTGCACATTTCTATTTGGGCTTTTATTCCTTTTCCTTACAAATTACGGTTTATTTTGACCTCAGTGGGCGCATCCAAGCATTCTTTTCATTATAGGCTCACTTCCTTTGCTAAACTTGTGGTGTGGCAAGTAGCAAATATTTTTAATTATGGCAAATATTTTAATTGATCATGCTCACTGATTTTAAAGTCAGTCAAACGCACTTTTTTCTCCCCTGCTGCTTAAAGGTCGCAAGACTACTCAAACCGTTCTTGACATAAATATATAATTGCAAGTACCCTCTAAAGTTTCGCAAAATTATTATAATTGTTATAATTGTTATAATTGTTATAGGTCGCCATAAAAGTATATATTAAACTTATTTATCAACGTCTCAACACATCTCAGATGAACCAATATGCACGTAATTTTTGTCCACAATATTAATAATGAGTATTAATAGCTACTTAACTCTTAATAGTCTTTATCGTAATGCTATTATCTCCCGCGGACTTCCGGCACTGAATGCAACTGCTGCCTTGTCTATTAACTTTCCAATCGCTTGCACGTCGCAAGTCAATGATGTCACTTAATCCACTGCGAATGCAACATTATATACCACTCGCCTCGTTTCGCCCCTCATTTGCCTTCACGCAATTTCTCGCATGTCAACAGTTCATTAAGGCCCAAAAAAAAAAAAAAAAAAAAAAAAACAGAAACAACAACGAAAAGCTAGGTGGTGGGATCCCGGCTTGTCTAGGGCTATCAACGGCGTGTGCACAATTTTGTTCTATTTTATTGAATTGCCCGAGACAATCGATAAAAATGTAGTTAAAATAAAGTTTTTGGATTTGAGTGCATGCCTAGCCACCAATTGTTTATACAGATTGAGACTTGAGAATGAAATCGGAAAGGGGTGTGGGGTCGTGAATTGTACTAGCAATTTAATGCAATTGACCCATAAATAAAAAAGTTTTAATAACATGCCGGTGACACTTTTAATAAGGAGAAAACATGAACACAGAAAAAGAAATACAAAAAGGAAAAATTGAAAATACATGTAATTATTTTGTAATGTCAACGCCAATGTCAGGCAACCAGCCAGTCGAGCCGTCGAGTACTTCAGTTGAAAGATGCTCCAGAATAGCAGCAGCTCTGACATTTTTCACTTGCAATGGTTGTTGTTGCTGCTGGTTGCCGCTGCGTGCAAGCGAAGTATGAATTTTTGATGTTTATTAATTTGCAGCCCGCTCATAAATCAAGCTCGAAACATGTAGCTCGGTCTAGGAATCATCCTTAAAATGCGCACATTTTGTTATGATCTATGAGCGTGCAAAATTACCAGAAAAAACACTTGATGGGGGTGCATGCAATGAAGATGGCTACAAAATTCACAATTAGGGCAATTATGTTGGCTTTTTATTTTATTTATGACTCGGTTTTGTAAGGGGCTCAAAAAGTGCCGCAGGACCAAAGTGCAACCACCGCTTTAAAATGTAAAATATAGAAATTAAAATATTTTTCAAGTATCTTCAGACTTCATGTTATTATTGGGAAATATATAATGCTCTATTATTTTACTGTTGCATGAGTAACGATTTAATAGGCTTAACATTTAAAGAAAAGAATAAAAAATTAATTTCCAAATTATCATATCTTTAAAAAAAGATCTGAAACACCTACTATATAATAACCAAACTTGATATGCTGGTTCTTTTAAGTCCAATAACTATTGATTATATACATACTTAGTTCTGGCTGTTATACAAAAATGAAGTAACGGTTGATACGTTGTATGAGTAATGTTTCTTTTTGTATCGAGTTGAAATGTATAGTTTCTTTTTGTATCGAGTTGAAATTTTGGTTAAAAGATAAACGTTTGCGCATTATAAATTATTAAAATCGTTTAAAAACCCTACAATTACATATATTATTATCGTTTAAATTTGGGTTGCAAGAGCTGCCCTAAAAATCGTTAAAGATGAATACTTTATGATATACAATTTGATAAATATCATACAAAATATCAATTAACTTCCAATTGAAGTGTGCAAAGGGAGACAAAATCTATGCGTTCCTCCCACATTCTGTGTTTAATATCCCTCTGGGCAATAGTATGCCTGGAGTTGGTGGCGCGCGCGAGTGAGTTCAGTATAGTACATCTATAATTCATATCTGTCTCATTGCACATGCGACTGCACCTATCCAAGTGTACGCCAGTTGTCAGTTATCGTAGGCGTTAATAAAACTTGGCTTCTTATAAATTAATAAGAAAACTAACTAGGGGCAGACCGGAGAGCTGTCTGTCAGGTGTGCTCGCACATTACTTACCCGCCCAATAGGAGATTCACATTGCCATTGACGACATTCGCATAGGTGTGTGGTCCTGCGCTGTTGCCAGATCCTGGAACGCCATTAAGTAGCGTTATACCACCGTTGCCGCCGCGCTGATGCTGCTGGTGATAGAGACCTAACCCGCCACTATAGTAGGTGGTGAAGGAGGATGACGAGGACGAGGCGCTGCCACTGTCGTTGTCGTTGTCGCCGTCGCTGTCAATGCTCTGCTGACTGCTGGCATACTCCTGAGACGCATCTTCCTCGCTGGTTGCTGGACTAGAAAGCGAAGGTGTTGCAGCTATTGCCGCCGTTCGTGTTGTTGTTAATGTTGCAAGCAGTGCTGAGGATGTTGTTGACATGGCTGTTGCATTATTATTGAGTTGCTGTTGTCGCTTTTCCGAATTGTAGTGTTGATTGACCGCAGCGAGTATTGCGTAACGTTTCAAAGACATTCCACTAGCATTGGCACTTCACGGATTGCTGCTAGGCTTGCGTGATTGCATAACGATTAGCACCATTAGTGGGCACACTAGCTCACACACACACTCACACATATACTTATTTATGGTGGCTTACACTCTCTTAGTCGTCTGCTCATTACGCGCCAACGTTTGAGTTGCGACTAACTTAGCGCTAGACTAACTGACTGAGCCAAGGACAATAGCTTTTAGCCCTCGCGGCGTATACGTAACATGCAGGTGAGACAGACGCCAGCACGCACGCACACTCGCACACACACACACACACACACACAATCTGAGAAACTTTTGTTAACGCAAAGCGCGCGCGCCGCATTTCACGATCGATGGCCAAAATTGTTTCCGTTCCATTTTTATTTGTCTTACAAATGGAGGGGTAGTCATTTATTTATTTTTATTTAACTTAGTCTGCTTTTTTAGGAAACTTGAAGTGCTCGGCAGGTTTAACATCGGCGTTCGCACAACTCGCGATTTATGCGTCTGGACAAAGTCGTTGCGCTGTTGCAACTGATTCTAAGTCCAACTGTGGCTTGACTTGCTGGCTGGATGGCTGGCTCTGTTTGCTTGGCTGTCTAGCGGCTGCCTGGCTTGGCGTGCATTCGTTCGGCTTATCCTTTTGTTGTGCACGAAGTTCCTTGACAACGACTGAGCAGTAAAATACAAAATAAAGCGCCTTCGACTGAGCAACGTCCGCTTCGGTCTCTGTTTCGTTCATGGGTCGTCGGCAGCTCCTGTTCGTGTTTTTCGTCCTATTCGTGCTGTGCGCCTGCTACCATTTGTGCCGCCATTTTGCTGTTGCTTTCCTTGCCTTACCTTACCTTGCATTACATGGTTGACATGTGAGCTGATTTTTGAGCCACCACCGCCAGCAGCAGCGACCAAAGCCAACTCATTTGTATTGAGCTTCCTTTTTATATATATTTGTGTTTGTGTGTATTTCTGTGTAAGCGGTTCCTGCACGTTTCACGTCAAATTGCGCGCCAAATGGCTGATTTTCTTTATACTTGTTTGCTTGCGTGTGTGTGTGTGTGTGTGTGTGTGGGTGCCTATTGTTGCAGGCAGATTGTTGCTGCTGCCGCCATTGTCGTTTCTGTCGCTGTTGTTGTCGTTGTTGTTGTTGTGGCAACCGTGCATACCATTTGAATAACACTTGTCGTCAACTGATATTTTTCATTGCATAACATGTACTCGTACACGTATATGTATACATATCTACTACCGGTTGCCAATCCGTACAGTACAAGCCACGCCTATAGGGCGTATACGAAATATCCACTTAACTGATTATCATGTGGCATTCGAACCACTTAATGAAAATAAATTGCTACTGACCGCCATAAGCTTATAAATGTTTTACAAATTTTTCTTCATTATTACTTTTATTCTTTTTTGTATTTTTTATACTAACAAGTTTGTAATGTTTGTAGCACACAGGAAATAAGTAGCGTGCCATACCGCATATTATGTATGATAAAGGAGTCGTCTCTTTTTCTATCCATCCGTACGAACCTCTATTTCAACCACGACATTCGAGCCATCTTGGGGCACCAAAGTTAGCATATTGACTTGACACATACTTGTATACACAGACCAAGATTATTATAAACAATATATAGTTACAATATTTTACAAAACTGATATAGGAAGATCAATGGCAAAATTCATTTTTGTAGGTAGAAACATTCTTTGCTTACGACATTGTATCCAAATATAATTATGTTTGTTATGTCTGTCCACTCTAACAAAAAGTGCTGAGATTTTGGTATAAAGAGTTGAAAAGTCTTTCATAGATATAATCTTGTTTCAGCTCTGCTTTGAGGGGAATAGAATGCAGGGAGATTTCTAAAATTCCTGGTTAACTGTTAAATACATTTTGAAACCACTGTACGACCCGCACCTGTACACGGTCGCAGGCTTTTCAAGAACATATGTAAATAGTTGCACGCCATTTCGGGCTGAGCTCACGAGTCCCCAACAATAGCAGTAGCAACAACAACAACAGTCAGGTAGCTATGAGGCAAGAACCATGAGCTGAGAGCCAAATGTGCTATGCCAACTGTGTTTCTGTTTGTGTGTACGAGTATGTCGGCGTCCACCTCCCCATCAAACCACCAAAAGCTGCCTTCTTGAAAAAGCTGAAAAATAAAAAATCCATGTCTACGTCTGCTGTGCTACGACAGCTTAACAGTTAGCCATAGTTACTTACACCTCGTGTGTCAGGCGCGCTCGCTGCTGAGGAGCTCGTCGAGTGTTGAACGTCAGTCGTTGAGGGCGTGCGACGGCCGTGAATAGTGCAAATGTTGTCACATTTTTTCTTTAATGCATATGTGTGTGTGGCATAATTTTAGATTTGTGTGCGCCAGAGCGTGCTTTCAAATAAATAGAAATTTGTATAACCCCAAAAAAGCGGCAACAACGGAGAGAAAGAAAGAAAGAAAGAAAGGCCTGGCATTTGTATGCCTTTCAACAGTTGGCAGCTGAGTTGCTGGCAACGTGACTCATTAGCGAGGCTGAGGCGCCACTTTGACGATGGCTCTAGCTATGGCGATGCCACTGACGCTGCTGCGTCGTCTGATGATGGATAGTTTTGGACCAGTACGCACGCGCTGCTGCGGGTAAGCGAACAGGAGCAGCTGCAAAGTGTGCTACACTATTTTTTGTTTGGAGGCGCCCAATAGTGCCACCGCAATTAGTTCCTGGCCGTGTCGGCGGTTGTTTATACTCGTATTTAACAACATCAACTAATGAGACTGTCACATTAATAGAGAGGAGAGGGAACACGAGGGGTGAGGGTGGTGTAAGAACCTAAGAGACGTCGGACACCTGCACAAGTGCCTAACACTTGTCAACTGGGCCACTGTCAGTGACATTGTCAGCCAACTGGCAGGCAACTACCGAGGTCACTGCGGTTGCATGCGCTAACAGAAAGGATGGGCATTCTCCCTTTTCTCTATCACTCTTCCAACAAACAGCGGCAATCCTTTTTAAAGACTAAAGCATTAATTATGCATCTGTCGCTTGATTTATTATGCACAGCTATAAAAGTAATGAAGGCAACAAATGACAAGCTGTTTACCTGCCGCACTGCTTTTTTTCTAACTCAAGAACTGTACGTATTTGTAGCTGTTGCTCCTGTTTCGACTTCCACATGGCGTTGAACTCGTACGCTACAATAACACGTTCCTCATATGTATGACCAGAAGAACAGCCAGAGTTGGCTGCATGCCACCCCCAATCCGAGAATGCGCAACAAATGTTGAGACTTTCGATGGCATTTGTGTAGTACCAGAGTTCCATGTGGTTCGAGTGTAATACATATGTACATCCTTGTACTTCATGCGAACCTACATGCATATGTGGACACGTATGCGCTTTCAACAGGATGGGTTGGTCAAATGGTTGCATGTGCTGTGCTTGTAGTTCATATTTTAACAGCACGCACCGCTCCTATATTATGCGGGCAAAAACAACAATGCACACTAAAAATTCTCATGCCCTTCCTTAGCCCACTTATTGAGGTTCACTTAATTTAAGGTGCACGCAAAGGTTACACCGCAGTATGTAGGTGTCCTCAACACGTCATTCCATGTGCCAGGCACCACATAGTGTCTCTGACAAAGCAACAGCCTTGATGATTTAGTTCAATGGAGGGCGTGTTTGTGATATATACTCGTACATATACTTATATAACGTTTAAAATATGTTGCAATTTAGAGCAATAACACATTTGTAGTGGCTTTGAATCAAATACAACTTGTGGACAAATTACGAGAATCAAAACATCAACTATATCATGAAATGTTCCATCCAAGTACTTTTTAATTGGGTTTTTAAAATAAAAATAAACGTTGACCATAATTAGACGAACCACTGAAAAACAGAAATAAAATAAGCAAATAAATATTAGTTTAAATATAGATACCGTCCTAAAAACTTTACTAGAAATTGTGCTCAACGGTGCCAGCGACTAACAAATTTAAAACATGTCATACAAATTAGACAGCAATGTTATCAGTTCTCCTTAGTTGATTTTATTAAGTTTTGATCAAACCTCTTGTGAAATGCTGTGGACTTCGAATTTACAGTTCAATCTGGCTATTTTGATTTTACTTGTTTCAATATTTAGAGTCCACATTGGGTCCACATTTTGTTTTGTAGTTCAGTGTTAAAAAGGCCTAAGCAATTATCTTTACTTAAAGATTTATGAAAAGTTTTGCAAACTTATGTTTAAATGTTTTTACCGCTTAGAACTACGACAAAGACTGTAAGTTTTATCTTTCATATACTGCAAGAAAAGGCACTCAATAGGGCTAAATGGCCGACAAAAAAAGCAGCCCTTTTCTCCTAAATCATATGTTAAACAAAATAAAATTTGTTTTCTCCTTTCAAAGTGAAAGAAATTACCAAAATAAAAGCAAAAGAAACAACTTCTTGAAACCTAAAACTTAGCAATGCTCTACAAGTATCTCAAGAAGGCTTACGTTTTGAACAAAGCACACAATGGGTAAGAGATAGCTATATATAGTATGTATATATGGCTTTGCCTATAACTATAACTCGTTTAATGGAGAAGCGCACCCAAAATATGTGGCACGATATACATATATGTACGTGTATGTGCATATGTGTGTTCAATATATTAGCTACATTTTTATAACTGCTATCATTTTTCATTATAGTCCAAAATAAACTAAAGTGTTGGGCACTGCTTGGAGCCCACCACTCCATATCCTAGCCATTCCTTTCGCCCTCGTGTGGGTTGCGTGTCAGCAATGTCTAAGGCAAACAATTCCTCTATGCGCTTTATGCGTCGTAAATGCTACGCCCACTTTGTTCTGGTCGCGTTGTAGTCGTTTTTAAAGGTTCTTTGATTTTATCGCACATCAAACCCCTAAGCTGAGCAGAACGCAGGGCGAGCATTGATTAAAGTTCGATACGTTGCCTCTTTGTGGGTCACCCGCATGGCACGATGACGGCGAAGACGACAACGACAAGCCCATTGTTTTCTTTTCACGCTCCATGCTCCGGCTGTTGTCGTTCTTATTGTTTGGTTAACTGTTTAATTTCTTTGAATGTAAACTTTAAGCAAAGTTAGCAACGCCTTTTGTGCGCCCATCACGTGTCCCTCCATTGACAACGTTGTTTGCCTCGTTGCTTTTGATGATGACAACATGTATATATATATATACGAATTTATGTATATGTGTGTGTATATATGGATGGGGGCGAATTGGAATCCGTCAACGCGTTACTCGTGTAAACACACTAAAACTACAATTAAATGCTTGTCTCGGCTGTAAATTAACCGCACTTTCTTTCCCTTCCTATTTTGCAGCCTGCGTTACCTTTATAAGATGTCCCTAGCCGTCTCGCTTCGGCGTGCACTGCTGGTGCTGCTGTCTGGCGCCATTTTTATACTCACCGTGCTTTACTGGAATCAGGGTGTAATGAAAACGCAAGCGTATTCTGAGGCACTGGATCGGGCGATTCGAAGCCACAAACATCCACATAATTATCCCATGTGAGTACAAAAGAAACAAAAGACTCCCCGAAATTCCGACAACCTAGATGGTTTTGCATTTTACAGACCTGTGGAGAAACTGTGGACTTACAAGTGTGAAAACGACAGATGCGTTCGATCCCATTTCCTTGGAAAGGGCGCCAAGCGTGTCTCGTTCATGTCCTGCTCCATGACCTGCGGCGACATTAACATCTGGCCGCATCCTACCATCAAATCCCTCGTCAACGGGCATACGGTACGCTTTTCCACTGAGGATGCACAGTTGCTGCTGGACACACCGCATCATGAGGTGCGCAAGCAGCTACAATTGGTGTGGGACTGGTTTGTCAAGCAGCTTCGCGCAATTCAGCGATTAGAGTACACAGCAAGCTCCACAAGTGAAACGGGCGGGGCAGGGGCTAGTGAATCCACGCGAACGCGTCGGCGCAGCTCCATATTGTCAAATGCTCCACAAAACGAGTTCGACACACCAGCGGTGTCCCTATTCGGATCAACGTTTGGCGGACGACGTGCCGGCGATGTTGATAGTCTGACTGTTAAATTGTCGGTAATTAAGTCCCCAGAACTAGACTTCAATCTTGAAAATGATGAGACCTACCAGCTAAGCACAACATGTGAGTATCGATCGATAACAACAGCAATAAGCGACTTATCCGTAAATATACCTGAAACACAATCATTTAGCCATTTCCCGGTTTTCGATCTCGCACAAAATATTCAGCATAGAAATAGCTTGCTGTTCCGGTATCCAAAAAACTATGGAATTATTCGATTGTAAGACCTTCAAATATTTGTAAGAATTAAAATTTTAAGCATAATCTATCGGATTCAAAGCGATCTGTTCTCAACTGCGATTAAGTCTTGTATATTTTTAAAAGAAAAATAATAATGAAGGCCGTAAAAATAAAACAAATTTGTGAATCAGCTCTTGTCTCAATCGTAGCCTTTGTACAAGTACAAGAGAAAACAAAACCTAATCCTTTATTTTGTACCATTGCAGTCGAGAATCGTAATCTGCAGGTGCACATTAAGGCGAATTCATACTTTGGTGCAAGGCATGGACTGTCCACGCTGCAGCAACTCATTTGGTACGACGACGAGGATCACCTGCTTTGCACCTATGCGACGACTATGATCAGCGATGCGCCCAAATTTCGTTACCGCGGCCTCATGTTGGACACCTCCAGGCACTTTTTTTCTGTGGAGTCCATTAAGCGGACCATCATGGCAATGGGCCTGGCGAAGCTTAATCGTTTTCACTGGCATATAACGGATGCTCAGAGCTTTCCCTATATTTCACGCTATTACCCTGAGCTGGCCGAGCATGGCGCCTACTCGGAGAGCGAGACGTACAGCGAGGACGATGTGCGAGAGGTGACAGAGTTTGCAAAACTTAATGGAGTGCAGGTTCTGGTGGAAGTGGATGCACCCGCACATGCCGGCAATGGCTGGGATTGGGGCCCCAAAAGGGGACTCGGTGAACTGAGCCTCTGCATTAACCAGCAGCCTTGGAGTTTCTACTGCGGCGAGCCGCCGTGTGGACAGCTGAATCCAAAAAATAACCACACCTACCTCATACTGCAGCGCCTGTACGAGGAGCTGTTGCAACTGACAGGCCCCACGGACTTTTTTCACCTGGGTGGTGACGAGGTCAACTTGGACTGCTGGGCCCAGTACTTCAATGACACTGATTTACGGGGCTTGTGGTGTGATTTTATGCTGCAGGCCATGGCGAGGTTAGTTAGGTTTGCCCTTCTTATTTTCAACTGCTTCAAGCAACCATCCTCTTATTTTTAGGCTGAAGCTGGCCAACAATGGCGTGCCGCCCAAATATGTGGCCGTGTGGTCGAGCGCCCTGACCAACACCAAGTGTCTTCCAAATAGTCAATTCGTAGTGCAGGTCTGGGGTGGCAGCACGTGGCAGGAGAATTACGATCTACTCGACAACGGCTACAATTTGGTCTTTTCGCATGTGGATGCGTGGTACTTAGACTGCGGCTTTGGCAGTTGGCGTGCCACCGGAGAGGCAGCGTGCTCGCCCTACCGCACCTGGCAGAACATGTATAAACACCGTCCCTGGGATCGGATGCGACTGGACAAGAAGCGAATGAAGCAGGTATGCTAATCAAAATAGCGTCTCCTTCCAACTCGTAGATAATAATTAATGAAGAGTTTCTTTGGCAACACCTTGATGAAATCAAAGACCAACTCTTCTATCTACCGAGTTCGATGTTCTGTTGATTTTTTGAATAATGGATTTTATTTTATAAGAAATGTGAAGGTTCTTTAGCAATACTTATATGAAATGAAAGACACCTATTTTATGTGCCGAGTATTTCATGTTATTAGCAATAATACTATATATATTTGCTGATGTATTTTAATAATTCGAGTCGTCATTAGAATAATTTTTAATTCTCAATGAATAAAAATAATCCTACAGGACGTTAAATTAACTAATCGTTGAAAGTACTGCATTCAGATATGTTATTCGACCCAAAGATACGGCCTTATGTAAAACAGATAACTATGTTTTGTATACTCGTAGACATACTCATCAAATTTTACAAATTTGTGTGCAATTATTTTTATGCCTAACCAAATCCTAACAAAAAATAATTCTATAAAAAATATCAATAGAAACTAAGATAGTAACTTGAACTAAAAAGAAAATGTATTTAATAGGTAGATTCAATAATTAAAAGGGATGATTTATTTATTTAATAAGAAGATTCAATTAATAATAATAATAACATTCCTTTCTTCTTTTTGTAGGTGCTCGGTGGCGAGGCTTGCATGTGGACGGAACAGGTGGACGAGAATCAGCTGGACAGCCGACTATGGCCGCGTTCTGCGGCACTGGCCGAACGGTGAGATCATACTGAGATATATACATTAGTTTTTTTTTCAGCTTATTTATTATTTGATATTGCAGCCTTTGGTCGGATCCAAGAGACGATCACGAATTTGATATTGTGCCGCCTGAGGTGTTTCGACGCATTTCCGTCTTTCGGAATCGGCTGGTTGAGCAGGGCATTAAGGCGGAGGCGCTGTTTCCCAAGTACTGCGGGCAGAATCCTGGCGAGTGCATTTGATATTACCTTTAAGCATCCCCTATCCGTTAGTTAGTTAATAGTTTAATTGTTATATTTTACTATGATGATAATGATGATGATATTATGCGTTAAGTCGACTAAAACAAATTGTAGGGGGTAGAGAATCATGCGCATGAACAGACTTTTGCGTGTATGGTTCGGATGCGTTCTAGGCTGCAGCAAAGATTTGCGATCAAATGGTTTCTGTCAAATGGCAAGAATTTATACCAGCGCCTTTTCTTAGCTCTTGTCTATGTTTAGCATGACTCGAATTTCTTTATATAGTACAATTTCCACGAATTGCGCACACACTGCATACCTACATACATACATACATACATAAATGCATCCATTCATAGGACCGTGATTAACTAACGCGTAGCATTAGCAAATGTAGTTTTAGTTTTTTTTCTAACAATCTCATTCTCAGACACCCAATCAGATAAAAAAAAATATATATATGTATATGCACACAGACACAAACACACATAAATACACACAACATTAACATATGTATGGATAATACATATCTAGTTTGAGTGCCGGAACTACCACATGGCATATATGTATTTATATATGTTGACCACACATTTTAATATTGTTTAAAAGCTTTAATCGATGAAACAAATTACGTAAAGATATTAGTTGGCCCAGCGGATGTTACGCAAATGTATGTTTTAATTTTCTTCAGTTAAGTTAATTTTAAATTAAATTACATTTTCAGTGATATAAACAATGTGACCTTATGACAAAGCAAAAGAAACAAAAACTTAGCGTTAGATCAATTATAAATACGAAATGGCACGCGTTGGCACTCGAGTCGGGGGATAAATAGAAAGTAATTGTAGTTAATAAAAAAATAAAAAAAATTACAATCGTGTCTAACGCAATGCACAGACCCTGTCGCCTGTGCCCTCTAAATAATATTAACCCATTATGTTAACCATGTTTTGTACTTAAGTAAAGTTTTGCAAAAGGAAAAAGATCCAAACTATTTTTAACATTTTGCTGTAACTCGAACTTCAATTTCAAAAATAAAACCCAAATTAAACCCAAACGGCATCATTAGCCAGCCCTGAGCAAAATGTCTTTATTATTAATAAAAGCTATGTAAGAAAAACAAAACAATCGAACAACACTTTTGAGGAAAAACACGATGAACACACAATATAACAGGCTGGCATTTTTAGCAGCGTTCGTGGTAGACAACTGAAGCTTTTCTTTTACTTTCAAACGTTTTTACATTCGCTTTTGCAGGTTATGTTAAGTGATATTGCGGCTCAGCCGCTTCCGCGCTCTTCGTCGGCTTTAAAAGAAATAAACAGCAGCTCGCTATGGCTTCAACCGCCGAGTCATTTTCCTACCAGTATTCTGCGGGTACCGCGTAAAGCTGTCAAAACGGCAAAGGAGAGCAGATCTACAATCCCGGAAACAGTTGAGAATTTAAAGGAATTGCATGCACCCTGCGAATTCGACCTTTTAATAAAAACATCGATCGATTTCTTCCCCTCCCTATGCAAGGCGGTGCATGATCATCGTTTTGTGGACGAGGCCTGGTATCGTATGTTCCGTACATATGATACAGAAGCCTTTGTTTTTGATCAGTTTTACGAGCGTTTGACCCGCTACGAGGTGGATAGTTTAGTTTACGAGTATGGTCCGATAAGTTAGAAGTGGAAAATGTGCAGTATCGAGAAAGACACAAATAAATATTTATATTTCCTACCGCAGGTATTGCCCGTCTTTGATTGGCTCAGTATTTTTTGCTTACAATTATACGTTTATTTGCAATATGCTTTTTCTCTTCCGACACTCTCTAATAAAATGAAATTAAATTGTGCAATTTCTGAAAAATTAATAAAAATATTGTTGGCGCCCTCCTTTGCGATTCTCAAACCAAGTACCTAAGTGCCGGCAAATCAATAGTTAAATAGTGAAATTTATAAAAAATTAAATAATAAATTTGTGGACTTAAATTGTGAAATTTCTAATATATTAATTTCAAATATTGCGGCCACCCTTCTCTGCGATTCTCATACCAAGTACCTAAGCGCTTGCAAATCAAGAATTAAATTGTGAAATTTCAATACAATACAATATGTATTATTTATGTAGTACAATTAAAAGCTCTAAAATTTGGCAAGGGTATTTGTTGAACTTATGCAACTGCAACACAGATGTATAAAGTAATATGCACAAAATATGTGTGTTTGCATGTATGAACCTACACTATTATAATTATTTCTTCTACGCTTCAATGAAAATTTCCAATAACACTATGCAGTTCATCTTGTATTCTTTCTTAGAGTACATATCCCAAGTAAGTAAAATAAAGTCACCTAACCCTTTAACAGGAAGCTTGTGTCCAAATTACAGCTTCTGAACGCTTACCATTTGGACTTTGCGTTGATTGCACATACTAACATACACATGTGCATACCAGCAGGTCTTGCCCGTCTTTGCTGGGCTAGGTATTTGTGCTTACAATTATAAGTTTATTTACTGTATGATATTTCTCTTCCGACACCCTCAGAAGTTTCTAAAGGAATCATTTCCCAAATATTGTACATACAATAAATACTACGTATGTATGGTTATACGACCAAACATACATACATATGTGCATACATATCTTCATTACGCGGCTGGCGGACTGCCAGCAGTCAGTTATCTTTGCGCTTTGTGAAGAAATATTAAAACCCCAATAATTCAAGCTCCAAGAAAAATTTCAAAAAACCGAGTATGCAGTTTTATTCATTTTCTTTAATTGATTTTAGAAAAATGTTGTATGTAGATCGATTGAAACGGTGAATTTTTCAAACAAACTTTGGAGCTTGTTTTCCCCCTTTGGAACTCGAATTTTCCAAAACCCCTTCTTAGAGCGCACCCTCACTATGAAACGATAATTGAGTCCAAATTTCAGCTTGGGCGTTGATCACCAATCAGTCAGTCAGGACAAACTGTTTTATATACATTTTTATATAGAGATTAAAAGAGCGTTGCTTTAAACAAAATCAGTGAGATCAAAATCGGTGCTGTGGTATCTTTTGATGGAGCCGCGTTGCAAATTCTGCATAGGTCGTACACAGATGACGCACTCCTCGGTTCTGGAAGAGAATAAAAACCATAAAGGCGTTTTGGTATAAGTATATCTGTATTTACGTGACTATGAATAATACTTTAGTTTGTTATCTTAATATGAGCTAGCATGCGTTACTGTTTAACAGAAAACATTTTACAAAAAGTAAATATCTATAACATAGAAGATACAGTTCAGTTCATTCAGAGTGACCGGTGGGCACGGGACTCGTCGAGGTCAGTCTAAAAATATTTAAAAGAAAAAACAAATTAAGAAAAATATAAATAACATAAGTATTACATAAGTAGTACTATATGACTATAGTACGTTTATACGGAGCTTTAAAATCTTCAATAAATTAAACAAAAAAAAAACCTAAAACCCAAATTTTACAAATTAATATTTACAAATGGCGTATGGATGATATTTATGACCTTATGAGAGCAGACTAAGAACTTAACCTATGGGCCTAGGAATAAAAACAATAGTCAGCCATTGAGAGGTTTTATCTTTTCTCTATCGATAACGTCTCAAGAGCTCAAACAAGAACAATTTGGACCAACACTAGTTGAGCTCATGAATTTTAGCTCCGTATATTATCAAATTTTTTATTCTTAAAATAAATCGTTTCCCATTATTACTAGTCAATTAGTGCATTAAGAAAGCTATATGGAATCAGTCGATTGGCATTGTGGAAAGCTACGAGAACTCAAATTAATGACCTATACGCACCGTAGACTTTCGGTTCGCGAGCGCAGCGAGTAGTCTTTGGATGCACGATGTCTGAAATTAAATTAATTGTTAAATGACCACAGAAAGGCATGACAGGCTGCAGTGGAATAATGCACACTCAGAGCACATACAACACTGGAGAATTTATATATGATGCTTCTTGGTAAGGAATTATAACACACCTGCGATTTTTCACAGAACTGGTTCGATGAATGCTGCGATTCTCGCGCCACCTTATAAACCGATGCCGTAGCGTTTGACGCACCTCCGAATTGAGAAAGCAGTAGAAAAGCGCCACAAAGAAACCCTGTAGAATTTCAGATCGAAATTTAAAAAAATGACTGGGGTATATAACACTTTACATACCTGTGTGCTTATAAGAAATGCTCGCACGGCCTCAAAGAGATTGCGACTGATGCCTTGCTCGGGGCCTGTTAGCACCAACAAATAGGTAATTCCAAAGAGCGGTATCAGAACCAGCAATGCCTTTGAGGCCTTGTAATACTGACGCGTCTCCAATGTGTGTGCTGAGCGTAATTTGGTGATGAGGACCTACGGAGTGGAGATTCGATTAGACCTTCTTTCAACATTCCAATAACTCACTTCAAGGTAACTCACCCACATAATGCGTATGAGAAATACTAAATTAATTAAAATGGCCAAACAAGCTGGTCCCTTAAATATCCAATCAATGTGAGATTCACGCATCCATGTGCACTCGATTTCCAGCTGATAAAGCAAAATGTAATTAGAATGGATTGAAAATCAGGCACCTCACATTACTTACGCCATTAAAATTGTCGTTCTCGAGATGCGATGCAAACGCCTTGGCAATGGCCCAGATGAGAATGCAGAGTGCCGGACTGCCCCAGCCAATAAGTGCATAGATTAGGAAGCTGATGTTTTCACTGGAGAACGTCTGCACTACCAGCGTGTAGAGATAGAGGCCTACCAATAAACAAGATGTATTGATACCTTTAATATACTTTAAAGGTAAGTAAATTTATTGGCCTACCCTCAACGAACATCCAGAAGAAATTCGTCAGATAGAAATATTGAAACATAATGACCAGCGTAATACAACCAGCCTGACTAGATTCGGTGGTTATCTGCAAAATGGAGCATAAGTATTCGGAATTATATATATCAGATCATATCTACCACTTGCAAGAATAGCGTCAGTATCCAAAGCAATGCCGAGGTGATATAGGTGAGAAAAAGATTCGCATGTATTGTGTTCCTTAGACAGCGTAAGTCCCTGCATGTAAAAATGTATTGTTATTAATTTTATAACTATTTTTCAATATGCGAATTTTTTGTAAGAAATTATAAACAAATGTTAAATTCGTCTTGCACAATATTAAAATGATGTTGAATTTATTAATTTAGTTAGCCATATCGATTTGGTCTTTTAAAACTGTTAAAATATAGTATGCTTGTATTTATTGTAAATCGGTTCAGTAAACTCACTTAAAGCTTACAAATACAATTAGGGCGACCACTAAGGTAGCAAAGCTGACCAAATAGCCGCATGCATAAATAATGGCTGGCAATTCCACACTGGGTGAAAATTCCGAAAGCACGGGTCCTGTGCCCGCCTGATGACAACCATCATAATTTGAATAGGTATCCCAGGTGCCGTTGGAATGACAAAAGCGCGTAGCGTTTTCTATTAAATATAAATACATATTATTTGTACCTTGATTATGTTTTATTGTTATTCCTATACTCACGTGTTGGGTCGTAATGCACGCCCTTGAACTCTTCAAAGCAGGGAAGAATGGCAAACTGACCGCCAGTGGTGCGGGGCCAACAAAGTACAGAATCAAACGAAGTCGGGCAGTGGAGAGACTGAAAATACATAAAATCAGTTCAAAATTTATTTCATTGAATCTTTGAATTGATAAGCAAATTGTATAAAGGAAATAAAATACTACTATCTACCTTATACATTTTTATACAAGTAAGTAGATACACTTGTAAACTACTAAGCATGCATTTTAGTTAAGTATTTCATAAGAGTCTTGTGATATCTAGTTACTTCTAAAGCACCAATGTAATATCGATTTGGCTTAAAGTCTTATTATACATAAAATGACTTTAAAATAAAAATATAGAAATAATTGCACTTAGTCTATAAACATCATTGGGCATAGATAAAAATCTGGAATATTTATTTCAATATCTTAATAAATACATAATTACCATGAACTGGAGAATAGAACCTACTCCAAATAACATACTTTATTTTACAAATAAATTATTTTTATTACGTTTCCTTGAAAATTTAAATTTAAATATTTAAAATATCATAAAAGACATTTAATAAAATTTCGGACCTATAGAAACGTAGAAAACTGGTATTTCAATGATTTTTTAAGAAAATTACGAACAATGCGATGTTTGTTTTTTATTTCCAAAACTATTTATTATAAATCTATATATATATAAAAAAAAATTAGTCCCCCTCCGTGAGAATGTTATTTTCAAACATTGCCGAGACCAGGATTCGAACCTGGGTTGCCACGGCCACAACGTGGAGTCCTAACCACTAGACGATCACGGCTGATGAGGACTGGTGGCTCTGGCTGGCACAATGCTGTATTTAAAGCTTTCACCACTCGTGGCTAAACAACAAAGCTTGGTAGCGCATGCTTACTTGAAAGCGTCCGATGTGGAGTGGGGTGGGGTGTGACGGTGGGCCATTTGGCTTGCCATATAGCAACAACTAGTTCGGTACAATCTCTTTTCCGTTGTTGTTGCTGTGGCGCTTGTTTTGCTTGTGAACGGTCGCGCGCCGATTCCAAAAATAGCCACATGTCGCTGCCCCAGCAGTGGACTGCCAAACTAAAGCCGCATATGCAGAGAGATAATTATATGAACTGGACTAGACTCGGTACTTTCAGTTAATGCACGAACTTTATTTTTAATGAAAAACACCGACATACTTATCGTGCTTTTAACTACACTCGGAATAAATATCCGGAATCAAGCTATACATGTTTCTTAAAATCTTCGTTTAAACACAACTAAAGGCAACAACTTTTATATTTATAAACTACAAGTGTTCTTTTCTGTAAGAAAAATTTGTCCTGGGCTCTAGAAAAACTAAAATTAAGTGAAATAAAAATATTTTCTGTTAAAGAAATGTACTCTGTACCAAACTTGGTATGCAGACTTATTTTATCCATACGCAGATCAAGTTTATTACCATCAGTATAACATCATTATTTTAAATTGCCGCCATACTACTAATCGGTTTAAAAATCACTCTTCGTATGTTCCAACAGAAAATTCAGTGCAAATAAACCTTAGCAACATTTGTTTTAAATTTAAGCAATATATTATGACGGTATACTGATATAGAGAAAATGCATTTTCTAAAAATTTCACGAGCTGTAATCTTGATCTTACCAAAAATATATATTTCTCGATAGTAATTTTTGTAAAATTAATATATATTTTTATTCGATGCATTGTTAGATTTAGTTTGATTTTCTAAAAGCCATGTTTCTGAACTTATGTTTTATTTGATGTACACCTTAAGTTTTTAAATAAAATAAGTGTTTTGTAAATATTATTATTAATAATAAATATTTAATTATGCCCCATTACTCAAGTTTATTAGGAGATGATTGCATATTAATTTTAAGTTTTTAACTTAAAAGAGTGCATAGTAAAAACAATTAATCAATAAATATATAAGCACTTATTAAGGCTTTTATTATGTTTGAGCAGGCAGATCGCATCGCACTCAACATATACAAAAGCTGCGAGAATTCCAATTGACTTATCAAAGTTACGTCAATTCTTGTCAATTGGTATCCCCAAATGACTGACGCCAATGGTCATAAATAGTCTGCTGGTTGGTTTTCCAGGTCTTTAAATGAATTATTGCTGGTGGATAAACGCAGACAAGACAACAATGGGTAGGAAAAAATGTGCAGACAACAGTTTAGTACACTTGCGGCCATAAATTTCATTTGCCACGCATTATGAAGTTTCTGTGAACAACCACTAAATACGATAATTTGAATTATTAAAGAGGTTGTGGAAGTATGAATCGCTAACCATTTTAAATTAGGCAGCCTTTTATGTACATACATATTTAGGTTGAGTTGCTTTAGGTTTTGACTTGTAAAGGAGAACAGGCATGCTTATTAAATATGCTGCTTTTGAGCCGCAACTAATTTGTTAATTGAGCTTCGACAGCCTCTCAAAAGCTCAAGAATTTTAAATTTTCCCTTTGCCACATTCCATCCTTAGTTGATTTAATGAGCACGCGGACACACACCTTTTATTACTTACCCCTTTGTTGACTGTATCTTTTTCGGTGAAATTGCTCCTCGATTGCATCTCCTTTTCAGCTTGCTGCACACATTGCAGCTCCATTGTTCGATTTAATAGCAATGCAACGGTCTCGGGCCTTTGGTCACCGCCTATCAAGGCGCTCGCTCTTTGTAGCAGGTCCATCGAAAGGTTTGCAATGGCATTCTTCACCGTATTTTCTGAAGTTGTGTCCCGTAGGCTGTTAGCCAGGGCTCGCAAATCATCGTCAGCCATTTGAGTTAACGCCTGTGGATATTATGTTCGGTTCGCTCTGGGAGCTTTTTCTTCTTTATTTTTATCGACGACTACAATGTACAACTCTGTTGCAATGTGAGTTACATTTGTTGTCAGCTCGTCACTTTGGTGATGTCCCCAATTTTACGAGCTGGATGTAAAAAGGTTTCAGATTTGTGCTGTTCCGGTTTTTATATCTCTGCTCTGAACCCCAGCCAACCGGGGGCCTATTATTCTACGACGCCGTTTTCTCACACTGTCACTTTCGCTCTCCAGCTAATCTGTAAAAATATGAAAAAAAAAAGTTTAAAATCAGTCAACGCCATCAAAAATTGTTGATATCTTTTCACAGATAAAGACAAGTCATGGACTTACACGCACTGTCAAGGCAAGGCCGCATATTCGAGTATTTGTATAAGTAGCCACATTTGTACACAAATTATAAAAATCTTTTCAAATAATGCATGCGTCAATCACGTGGTTAAGTGTGCGCCAGCATTTCTGGATGGGTGGTTGCTCACTAGATAAAATGTTCAAAGGCGTCTATCTATCTGTCTACAACTATGTATATGTACTCGTGTATGGGCAAGTCATTTGGGCGGGGTTAGCTTTCATTTAAGTGCCGCTCAATGCACTTTTGATTACATATTTTTGCTCTCCGTTTGAAAAATTATATGCTTCACACTATAATCAACGCAATTTTTGCATCTGATTGTCAAAACTAGTTCGATTGTATTTGTATTTATAAGGTTTGTTAAGGGCCTCATTATATTCTGAACTTTCATCAGAATTGGTGCAGTATATCATATAGGTGTCATAGGAACGGTCAGACCAAAAATTAATAGTGGCACCAAACACCTTTCTTTTTTTCATATTAATATAGACATCACCCTTTCGGGTGATTATAACGTAGTGGATTTTTGCGTATACACATGTTGAATGTGAATTGTGTGTAGTAGTTATACATTTTAAGCGGCGTATACACATATAGAGAATCAATTTTTTATTTCTGCTAGCCAAAAAGATATCTTACCTGCACTAAATTAAATACAAATTCATAAATCAAATTGCTGAATTTTCAGTCATTTTTGCCAAACTGTGCCAATAAAAACAAAATAAATCTTCACACACATATTTTATCCAATAATTGTGTTACTTATATATTTAAAACAGCTTCGAATATATATATAAAATTATTTGATTTATGCATTGCTTTTGATTATTTGCACATATGTTCATATGAACGTTTTTGAGGTCAATAGACTTTGGCTTATATTTAAAACAAAACTTAACAAAAAACACCTACACAACAGGCGATCTAAAAATGTACACATCTGTTGCAATAACTAGTTAACATAAAGAAATGGAAAAACTAAACAAAAATTCTGAATGAATCTTTAATAAACATTAAAAAATATTCTCGTAAAGCTTGCTTATTCAACAATTAACAACTTTTTCAATAAATTAAATTGCATTTTGAAACTATTTTAAGAGCCCGAATAGCTATAGTTCGCTATAAATACTTGTAAATAAAATTACAAAAAAAAATGAAAAAAATTCAATTTAAAACTAATACAAATTCATTGCAATATACATATGTGAACATACTTATTATAATTATATATAAATTGTATATTTAATGTGATAAGCTGTCTATTTTACCTTTAACTTTGCTACTACTTCTACATACTCGTATATAGGGCTAGCACGTTTACTGTAATTACTCTATTACTAAATGTGAGAACGTTATTTCCCATATAAGCACCTTTTCAAGATGTCTCGCTTGATTATTAGGCAAAAATTATACGTTGGCTGAGTAGTAATTTGGATATAAATGGCACGCAAGTTGTTGAACGCACATCGCGGGGCAATAAGTGCGATGAGATGCTAAGCTCTTGTCTTGATTAAGATAAAAGAGACTCAGGTACAATCATGTGCTTGTACTTATGTACAAGTATACACATATATCTATGTATGTATATTAGTATGAATGTCTATACATATAGTATATACATACATATGTATATACTCATATACATATATTTGTATGTGTGTGCATGCATGCCAACGACAGATAGACGGAGAGATGAACAAATAAACAAACGCACACAAGCCTACACAGCAGAGGGCAGTTACCAAAACAACATTAACATCAACAGTCATATCAACAGCAACAGCAACAGCCACAACCACAACAACAAAAGCAACAATACAAAGTGGGTGAGCAATGACAACGATGACGACGACGCCAACGACGCCAACGACGACAGCGACGTCGGCAGCTGCGGCTACTGTGATTAAAACAAAGAGTGTCATGTTACTTATTAATGAACAAATACAATAAGGTCCCCAGCTTTTTCCCCCTCTCACAGACGACAAACCAAGACAGAGATACAAAGGGAGAAAGGGAGAGAAGGAGATAGATATCGGGGAGAAAATACACATTAGCGCAGGTTTGTCAATATCGACTTGCAGATAAAAATGGTGGTACTGTGTCAAAGGATGCACGACACACGCACGGCTCGGGGCAAGCACGTGACATTGTTTTTGGCCCATTTTGTTAGCCCAATAAACGAGCCAGACGTTGAATATTTGGGTGATATGGCAAAGAAGCGCACGAGTACAAATCTTTTTAGTTGTATGATGCCAGCCAAAAATTGTTGATAAAACCATACAGTAATAACTACTTTATAGAGCATTTCATTTGAGAGAGTAAAACAGAATTTGAATATTTCCATCCAAATTTTTCCAAATTCGGAAAAAATCTAAAAATGAAGTTACAAGTATTATGAAAAATGATATTAATTTAGTATGGCCCAATAAACAAGTAATTCACGTGATATCAAATACAAATAGACTACTTATATTATATAATTCCAAAACAATGTAAAAGAATTCCTAAATGCTTTTTCCAATCTCGGCAACAGCATGAATTCGGGAACAATAAAAAAGGATGAACATAAACGTTCTTGATCCCGAAATAAACTCTCAATTGTGTGTATATAAAACAAAGTTTTAAATATATATGAGATAAATACTATTAAAAATAAACGGAAAAATATAACAACATAGTCCAAAGTTACGTGAAATATTAAAGTTAAATCAAAAATGAAATAAATATATCCAAATGTTTTTAATTACAGTGTATGAACTAATGTTTATTAATGGAGAATATTACTTGTACTTTAGAAAGTGCTGTTATAATAAGAATTGACCCAATTCCATCATTACATACTATCAGTTTCATCAGGGAAATTAGAAACATATGAAATCCATTAGAAGAGTTGATTTTAGATGAACTGTCGATTGTTTTACAGAGCTAAGGCAGGTAAGGGGTTGTTAGGAGTCGAGAGTTGTAAAATTTAGCATTTTATTCGTTTTTCTTTAAATGCATGTATTGATCAAAAATTGAGACCCATAATCACAACAGCATTATCAGTAGTTAGTCATAGATAAGTTCCACTGTATCTATGAAACATTGTAAATAATTCAAATATGTTCGAAATTGCATTCAGATGAAAAACATACGCAAATTGCAATTTATGCTAATAATAGCGGTCCCATTGACTTTGATCTTGGCATCGATTGAGTGTGTGTATGTGTGTGTGGGTAATGCAAGGCCAAAAATAACATCAATTTTTTGTAAGTACGGCCCCTTCCATGGGGCGGGTGTTGGTCTGCTTTGCGTTTATTTGGACTGGCTGCCAAATATTGGGAGTGCACACGAATAGTATTTCCGCCGCTGCCATTGCCGCTGTCAGTTGGACAGGCCAGTCTGACTTGTATTGTGTGGGTAGCACGCGTGCACCTAAAATACATGACCTGTATGGGAGGAACACTTGAACGATGGACGAGTTGCGCATACGCACCGTTGGCTGACTCAGAGCGCTGCTGAGCAGCGACAGCTCAAATATTTACACACGCCGACATCTGGCCAGAAGTCAGGCAACTTTTGTGGTGCTGCTGCTAAAACTAAAGCACTCGCGATTTATTTATGACACGCTCTGGCAAACAAGCGCAATGTTTGGCCAGCGCGTGCGTGCTTCCAAGAAGGAGCTGTGGGTCGCACCGCAGAAGTAGTCAAAATACCAGCTGCTGAGATGAGGGCAGCGCTTCCAATTAGAGTGGCAGTTTTATGCGCTGCAGAATTCAGGCATTTCCTTTTTATTGTTGATAGCTAGAAATCATAATTTGGGTTGCTTTCAGTATTGTTTGTGTGCCTGCTTTCAATTTAGCTACCAATTAGATGAGCGACTAATTTGGCCAAATGCGCACAATTAACGGCCAGGGCAAATAAACAGATGCTCTAAATGTAAATATGCAAATGAGTTCTCACCCCGCTAACTGTCTAAAATGTGTAATGGTGCGTATACGTTATATTTGATTACGCCAACAGCGGCAGCGATATTTTAATGATTTATGAAGTGTCAAAACAAATAAAGAAATAATTAGTTTTAGCAATACCCGTGGCCATACTTTCCAAACAATGAATTATTGGGCCATATACGAGATTATGACAAACGTATTTGAATTTCGTTTCACATGTAATCCAATTCTTTTTAACTCAATCCATTTTGTATAATTAGAAGACCTTTTTCTGCCAGCCAAAAATTGCAGATAAGTGTCTAAAATACGACTAGTATATGAATAATCGTAGAGATAATGGAGACGCATTGCAAATGTTAAACATTATTAATTTAGAGCTTCTTAAATACAAAACAAAGCAGTCATAAGGGTGTTTCAAATATAGCTTTTTATGAGAATGTAAAGTTTAATAGGAATAAAATATAGTATATTATAAGTTAATGCAAGCTTAAATGCACAAAGAAATATATATTTTATTACATAGTACATATTTTATTATTATATACACAACAATCAGGATTCATGTCGCATTGATTTAAGTACATATCTCCAACAAGTTTCAGTGCATAAATTATGCCATTGACTTCGGAAACACTAGAAATAAAAGCATTGAGGATGAATTTAAGATTTGTGTGAGTTCATTGCAATGGAAAATAAATAAATAATAATCATTCAACTCTCATTCAGCTCTGATCATAAGATCATAAAGCTTGTACCTTCCTACCTGCTATGGTTCATAGCATTTGCAATTGTTGGCCTTATCTCAAAGACTGTTTAATCAAAGTTGGAGCTACTTATCTGCACTCTTAAGTATCTCAATAACAAATTAAGATAAAATATGAAACGTGCCATGTTTTTATTAAATTTTCACATATATTAGAGTGTAGTTAGAGACTTTTATTATATTTTCCAATCT